GATTCGACCGACCGGGGGTCACCCAGGTGAGAGGGTCGGGAATGGTTTCAACTGAACCAGCACACACTGTGAGCGGACGACATGAAGCCAGCCGAGTATGAGGTCCTTGGGGGGAGACTCCAGCCAGCATGGAATGGGAAACACTAGGCTGCGTTTCTCGTGTTTCCAAACATCAGACTGCGCCAGCTTAATGCCCCTGGGGTCACAGTGGCCGCAGTTGACTTCTAGTGTATCAAGGACCAGCAGCCTTTGGCCTTTTGGGGCACTCGAGTTCGAGAACGAATGTGCGCTGCGCTGCGCTGCGCTGCGCTGCGAGCACGAAGCAGAGCATCTGCAGCGCTTCCCTCACAGCACAGCACAGCACAGCACAGCACTGCGGAACCATCAGCATCGAACAAGTTTGCTGAACTCTGACTGGCAGGCCCAGCTCTGGAACAACAACAAAGCCCGTCCGGGGTTAGGTTCTCTGGCGTCCCACCTCAGACGTGGAATCCGGACGACGTCGGAGGGTCTCTGGCGTTCTGCTCTTCCACGCTGGGCTGACTGTCGCCTCCAGCCAGATCGTCGCCGGCGGCTGCATGGCACGATGAGAAAAGAAAGGGACGCCGAAGCGGAAGAGCGAAGACTGGACGAGGGCAAGACATCCGTTGGTCGGACCACACATAGGGCCGAGAGCAAAAGGCGCATGGTCAGTTGATCTCGAAGGAGAGACATGTCGCTGGGAACACACACCACCAGCCCGCGCTGAGGTGACGGGCGGGACAAGGAAGGCGAGGAAGGCTGCACCGCGGGCACCGCCAGTGGGAGGGGAAGCACGCCCAGAGGAGACGAGACGGCGCGGACAAGGACGGAACCGGCGAATGGAGTGCGGACGGTGGGAGGGAGAGAGGACTCGTGGAGGAATACCCCAAAGGAGGCGCTGCGCCTTCAGCGCCTGGTCTTTCATCTCCCGCTCTCCGTCCCCCGTCTCGTACGGCACATTAGCATCCCCATCGCGCTGGCTCCCATGGGGTTCTGGAATGACTGGTGTGGGCAGCCAATTTCTCCAGTGGCCGCAAGCGGTAAACTGTACGGTACCGAACTGGAAGAAGGTAAACAACAAGACGGGCACCACCAAGCACAAGCACAAGCACAAGCACAAGCTTCCCCGACCCGACAAGCCCGACCTTCTTTTTCTTGTCGTCTCCATCAATCAATCAATCACTCACTCCTCCAAACCCCTGCTCCGCCGGCCGTTGCGCTCTGTATCCGTACAGATACTCACTGCACATAAGGTACCTTACCTCACTGCATTGCACCGCCAACCTCTGCTGCAACCTGCTGAGCATCCGTCATTCATCATTCGCGCATCAACAACATTTCTTACCACCTTACCCGCCTCCCACCACTGCCGCGCCCCCCCCCCCCGTTACCACCGCCGCAACGCAACCAGCACATCGCATTTCAACACTGCACCGCGCCCAGTTCTGGCGACGCACATCATCCGTCCCATCCGCCACATCCTCAACTCGACCTGCCGCTTGACTTGACAATGCCCGCACTCCCTCTCGCCCTCGTCTGAAGGATGCATTGTTGACTCGACCCATCAACTCCCCCTCATCCACCACCGCGGCGGTAATTTCCCAGCAACGCAACCCCCCACGGACAAGCTATCGACCTACCTTCTGACCCCGATTCGACTGGCGACGACAACGACAACACATTCACCTCCATTGTCCGTCCCTCCGACCGAGCCGATCCTTCCTACCGTCTATATTCCCCGTGTCTCCCGTCCATACATCTTGTGTTGAGTCGACAGTCATTCTCGCCGCCATTGCCGCCACTCCTTGAGCCGCAACCCAGCTTCTGCTGCTGCTGCTGCTTATCGCCACGACCCAACAGACCGTGGTCAACCCCGACGGATTCACAGCAAAGCCGCATATTGTACATCACTAGCAATAGCCATGGGAAATTCAAGTACCAAGGAGTCTCGTGCGTCCGATCCGGCGACCGACTACCGTCAAACCCAGGCCGCCTACCTTAACCCTTCCTCCTCTCGCGATGCACCCACCGACCGCCCTAGTTCGCGGAGACAAAGCCGCTTCAGCCGCGCTGACCTCAACTTATTGGGTCTCGGAGCTGCCGGATCTTCAAATGCGGGAGGCAGAGAAGATGCCCCGTACGAGCGCAGGGAGACCAGGCAAGAGCGAGAGGCTCGTCGCTTGGAGAGGGAGCGCGTCGCCAGAGAAAAGGAAAGAGAACGCAGTATGAGGGAGGAACATGTCGACGGCGGCTACCTCGTCACTCTCGGTACCTACACTGGCCCTGAGGACTTCAGCAAGCCCATTGTCCGCCAGCTGCAGGTAAGCGTTCCTGCCAGAACACCCGTGTTTTCGACCTTACTGACATGCGTGCTTTGCAGCTCGAGAGACGCCTCGCCCCATTCTGGAGAGGCCTCAACGACTATTCAGACAACTGGACCGAATACCAGCTCATCTGTGCTGGACGTGGCCTCGACATTCCTGCCGCAGATGAGCAGCCTCCTCCCGAGTTCATCCCCAAGGCGAACAACCCCGCTTCACCAACCGACTCCTCCCAGAACCTTGCGAACCTGACCGTCCCCATGGGCCCCCGGTCATTATCCGTCGGCTCAGATCGCAGCGGTTCCGGCCCGGCCTCTGGAGTAACCTCGCCCAACGCCGCTCAGCAGCAGTCGCGCAGCATCAAGCCGCGGGCAAAGGCCATTGCCGCAGCTCTCAGTGGAGGTTCCCGCAACAGCTCCGCCACCGAAGTCGCACCTCGCGAGATACAACTGCCCAACGACCCTTTCGTCAACGGCCAACCTCTCGAGGTCTTCCTCTACAAGGACGCTACCGAATGCCCCATTTGCTTCCTCACATACCCCCCGTATCTGAACCGCACCCGCTGTTGTGACCAACCGATCTGCAGCGAGTGTTTCGTGCAGATCAAGCGCGCGGACCCCCACTATCCCGAGCACCACGGAGAGCCCAACGAGCAGCCGCCGACGAACCCCGAAGAGTCCCCCGAAATGCTCATCTCCGAGCCCGCGCAGTGCCCCTACTGCCAGCAGACGGAGTTTGGCGTCACCTACGATGCCCCCCCATTCCGCCGCGGTCTTTCATATGCCATCTCGGGATACCCATCGCAGGGCACAGCCATGTCGTCTCAAAGCTCTCTGAACTCTACGCTCTCGCCCACCTCGCCGACTACAGCTAGCAGGCGCAGAGCACAAAGTTTGTCCGCCAACGCACCGAACGTCATCACCACCGATCGCGTTCGTCCAGATTGGTCTACAAAGCTGGCAGCGCAACGAGCGCACCAAGCTCGCAGGGCGGCTGCGGCGACTGCCCTGCATACCGCTGCGTTTCTCATGGGTAACAACGAACAGCAGCGCGGCTTTGCCTTCACCAGGCCAGGCAGATTCAGCCGACGCAACACGGGTAACCATACGCCTTCCGGGCCTTCCAACGCTCAGGCCGAAGGAAGCCCGAATCGCAATGTCGAAAATGAACCCGCTCAAACGGGACCTGAACCAGGACCGCGGGGTTCTTCGGGGCGGGGACCACTCAATAACAGACGCAGCAGAATGGAAGAATTGGAGGACATGATGTTCATGGAGGCTGTGCGCTTAAGTCTGGCAGCGGAGGAGGAGAGAAAACGAAAGCAAGAGAAGGCGGATCGCAAGGAAGCCAAGAAGAAGGAGAAGGAGGAGCGCAAGGCTCTCAAGAAGCAGGACCGCCAAAGCGTGTACGGCCCTGGACAGAGCTCTGCTAGTGGTAGTAGTTTGTCCCTTGGTCTCGGGCGACGACGCGGAAACAGTACGACCAGCAACCTCCGGGTGGAGGCAACAGTCCAAGGAGCCCAGTCCACTTCCGCGGCCGGCAGCGCCGAGACATCCCCCGTGGCAGCATCCACCAGCCCCAGTCCAGGTCCTACCTCGGCCCCCAACACCAAAGGCAAGGCAGTGGAGCGGCCACCCGTCGAGACGCAGTCATCCGAGAGCAGCTTCCAGAGTACCTCATCAACGCCCTCGCTCCCAATTCCCGCACCTAGTCGTGGCCCTTCTCATCTTAGGCAGATGAGCAATGCGTCGTCGATTTCCTCGTCGCTTGCTGATAGCCACAACGGAAGCTACACAAACCCGGCATACCTTGACCCTCGCGCTAGCGAGCTCAGCGTCGGTGGTCGGAGTGACGAAGGCGACCGTGACAACACTGAGCCTCTGTACAACTTCAGGAGCTTGGCAGAGATGGTCGGAGTTGATATCGAGAACGGCGAGGCTAACCAGACGGAAGAGGGAGCTACCGCAGGCGAGGGACAGAGCGCTGCATCGAAAAAGAAGAAGGCTGAGGCTGAGGACGAACCGGAGGCCGAGCAAATTGAAGATGCGCACACGGAGCAGCCGGTGCAAACCAACGCTGGCACCCTGAAGCCACCGCCGACGATTCCCGAGGAGCCCAGAAACTCAATCAGCGGAGACGAAATTTCCTCTGGCAATGAGCCATCGACCCCCGAGGTGATGATCACGCCAGTCACTCCCGCCCCTGCAACAGAGGAAGATAACGAGACGAAGAGGCTGGGGCATGAGAACGTGGTGGAACGTTCATCGGAGATTACGCAGTGAGGAAATGAAAATGACGACCATGAGGAACGTACCCGATACGAGTCGCTCAACGGCAGCATCTTGGTATGGCGAGGTGACGGGCACTTTTGCATACACTCGGAGGTTGGGAAACTGAGAACACTAAAGGCGTAAAGCGTGATTATGGGGGCCTGGTGGGATTAGACGTGGTCTCTCCTTTTCCTTTTTTTCTCTTCTCTTCATGCCATGTGAATGGCCGGCTCATTGTACTCTACCATAAGTGAGACGAGTTGCGAGGATCAGATAGATCTCTGCAGCTAACAATTCTATGTATCTATGCAAACGCTGTAACATGCCAAAGCTTTCCGGGCATCCAAACCTTTCCTTCCAGACATCATCTACACGTGAAGTGTGCATACTACAGATGCGGCTCTGCGGCGGGAAGAGTTGCGTCAACTGGGGGCTGAGCCCGTTGGTTCACGAAGCCCTCGTCAGGGCTGGCCCAGCTGTAGTTGCGCCACTCTCCCAGAGCAGGCCACATGTGTTCCGTTACCAAGCGCTGGATCTTCTCATAGCGACTTACCATCGCGCCCCGGTACTCTTTCTTTTCACCTTCGGCCTGGGTGCCCGAGAGATCGCGGAGCACAGCTTGGAAGTCGGCCCACGTTTCCTCCAGCTCCGTGACAGACGTGACACCCATGACGCTCACGCCGACCTTGACAGGCCCAGCAAAAGTGGGCGGCAGGAACTCGGTGCCAAAGGCACCGCCTACGCGAGCCCAGTTGGCCATGGCCCAGTACAACGCGACGTCCTCCATCTTTTCGCCAGCGCCCTCGGCAAAGGCGACCAGGCTCTTGCACAGCTTGCGCAAAGGGCCCGGGGCAGGATGCCAGCTGGCCATGGGCCCGTCGTCGACGCCGCGCGTGGTCAACAGACCCATGCTCAGCATACTCGCGTTCGTGACGACGTTGACGCCGGCATCCTTGAAGCGGGCGAGGATCGCGTCGGAGCCCAGGGTGTTGTTCTGCACGCAAAAGTGCGAAAAGGACTGCACGGCGTCCACGGGCTCGCCCGTCTCGCGGAGGATCTTCTCGGCGAGCTCGCAGAGGACGGGGACGGGGTAGCCGCAGATGCCGACGTAGCGGACGAGGCCCTCGTCGCGCAGGCGGCGCAGTTCGCGGACGGCGGCGACGACTTCGTCGGGAGAGACGAACTCTGCGTCGTGGGTGTAGACGAGGTCGAGGTAGGACGTGTTGAGGCGCTCGAGGCTGCGCAGGACGGAGGCGCGGATCCAGGAGGGGGAGTAGTCGAACTCGGCGGGCGCGATGCGGCCTGCTTTCGTGACGAGGAAGTAGGACTCGCGCGGCGGGGAGAGGGTGCGCAGGGCGGCGCCGAGGATGGATTCGGAGGGCCCGTAGTAGGGAGAGGTGTCGAAGGCCGTGATGCCGAGGGAGAGGGCGCGGGAGACGATTTCGACAGAGGGCATCTGCGAGGGGTCGGAGACGTATTGGTAGTTGAAGGTTGCCGTGCCGAGGATCAGAGGCGGCAGGACGGCGGACAGGGGGCGCGGGCTGGCCATGATGTTGCGGATATTATGTTTTCCAACTACACGTTAGGGAGATAATTGACTGGCAAAACTTGATGTGACTATTATCAAGGTAGGAAAGAGAACCTTGAGGGGTGTCGACAGTGTTTTGACAAAAAAGCGAGGCTGTCGCAGAAATCGGCGCAAAATCAAAAAGATCGAGCACGTCAATGATTAGTCTCTGGGGTCCCCAAGATGGATAGTCAGGGACCCCGCGTGTGTCCGAGTGCCCCGAATGCGATCTGCCCCGCCGGAAAGGTGGGGGAGGGACTCTAATCTTCTCTTATCCTGTCTCTGTTCGGGCAGTGTTCCTTTGCTTTGCTTGAAGCGGAATGGGCTGGGTCGCGCATTCTTGGGGCTGGTAGTAGCTCCGGCGGGCAGGTATGTCGTGCTGGGCAGACGGAGGAGAGATGTTCGTTCCGAGGACCGAGACGCCGCTCATTACCACGCGTGATTGGCCATGTTTGTCATATCTCGCTCGCTGGCTGGATGTTGTTTGCTTCCGTTGTGAACAATGCCATTCATTGAACACAGACGTGCCCCTTTGAGTTGGCGATGTTGACGAATACACATCGCGATGGGGCATCCTCGATCTGGGGGAATGGGGCTGACGCCATGACTCGGCTGGACGAGTGACTTTTCTGAGCTGGTTTATCTAGGAGAGCCTGGTGCTATCGACGCGGGGCTGTCGCGTTGGCGCCGCTCGGGGTCATGGCGGTGAGTGATGGTGGGCATGGTTAGCATCGTGATGATAAGAGGTTGGGCGCGATGGAGATGCAATGGACGTCTCGCATCCAGGAACGTGGGTATGTTCTGGAAGAGATGCAATGAGGGGAATATGAAGGATCGATCATTCGACCCTGACAGCCAGTCACACAAGAGCCAAGCTGGATCTCGTGTTCCGCGTCATTCCCAACGATGCTTATGTAAGTGTTTCTGTCTGCCATATCTTATCACCCTGGCTGGCTTCTTTATCGATAAGGTCAAACAAAACACGGCGATGCTCGTAGACGTTAACAACCTCCACACCTACCCATGGTGGTCAACTCCGCCGAGTCTTATTTGTGACCAATCCTGAGGTCTCTTCTTGTGGAGAGCATTCGTCAAGTCTCCCGCAGCCATTGAACGAAAGTCCCGAATAGCCTACCGCTTCCCGTGCACTTAACCGGACCAACAGCCTAAACCGAGACCCGTAACCAGTTTGGCTCTTATCCCTTACGCCTTTCTACTCAAGAGGATGTGATCCGAAAACTGTGATACATTTCACTTGCCGTTTTAATCATCAGTTTGATGCCGATTACAGTCAGGGCGAACTGCATCCGTCGTTTATTTCCATGTCGCCACAACGTACTTCTACTAGGTACGCCTAAATATGCTTCCAATTAATGCCTGGTTTGGGAATGAAAACTGCACCACTGGTCACCCGGATGTTACTTAATTTCTCTTGCATTCGCTACAAATGACCACCTCATGAGTAGAAGTAGTCTAGTGGACGTGGTTCCGTAAACGACGGATCGGTTGTAATCTGCAGACCGCGTCTTTATGGAGGCTATTATGCGATATCATCTCCATTCATGTCGTCGTCCGTCAAGCTGCCAAGATACTATCACCCTGTTGAGCTGTCTCTTGATTCAAAAAGATGTTTTGCCAATACTACTAGGCCATTTCATCCGCCTTGGCCAATATTTGGTATTTGGAAATCCATATTAGAATCATACTTTCATCATGGCTCATCACACGATATGGTGGCAATGACCTCTCCTGCTTACATTCAGATCTCTTCCGATTGCACAATGTCTGTCAGGATTGTCAAAAGGGACTTGGAGATGTGCCCAATACCATGGCATACCTTGAAGCACAGGAGGATTCGACGAACACGCGACACTCGATGATTCCGCCTTCCCGATTAAGGACGATATGGCCTCCCTTTCAATAGCTGAGTGTCTCCCCGAGAAAGCTATTTGAATATTAAGAGACCTCGGATTCCTTCATATACCACAATGAGATTTGGCACGGTTTCCTTGACGTTGAATGCCGACAGATCTCCAACATGCGGTCGTCGCTGACCCCTCTCGGCACTTTTGCCTTAGCTGGCCTTGGTAAGCACTGTCCTTTTTAGAGTTTGCAACAATATTTACTCAGAACCATGTTAGCTATTGCCCAGGAGCAGTCAACATACTGTGACAGCCTAGGTCGTTGCTTTTCATCGTATACCAACGAAGGCGGCATTACTTTTGGTATTGCTGTCCCTGAGAGTGCCTCTGCGGGTCAGCCTTACGATGCCATCGTTCAAATTACCGCTCCCATCGCCGTAGGCTGGGCTGGACTGGCATGGGGAGGTTCAATGACCTACAATCCGCTCACCATCGTGTGGGTGGACGGGAACGAAGTCACCGTTTCTTCACGCATGGCCTTGTAGGTACCCCAATTCCCCTCAGAGACGAATCAAGTGTTCATTATTTCCAGTGGTTACTTCACGCCACCCCCGTACGAGGACGCCGAGTACACTGTTCTCCCAGGCACTGTTGTCAACAACACCCATTACTCGGTCACGGCTCTTTGCAAAGGTTGCACTTACTTTGCGCCCTTCGGCAATGATCCAACTGCTCTGGACCCCAACGGAGAAAACTACCTAGCTTTTGCGTACTCGGGTGTCCCAGTCGACGACCCTTCATCCAATGAGACCACTTTTGGCATTCACGAGCGAACGGGACACTGGTATCATGACTTCAAGCCGGCGCAAGCTGCTGACTTTGACGAGTGGGCAAGTGGCAGCAGCGGGAGTGAGCCGCCTGTTGGCACTACGACTGTGACCACTCTAGCGACAGCAACTTCAACTACCACGGTCCACAGTACTACCACCCTCCAGACTACAGTCACCAGAACCGGAGTCCCTCCCAGTAGTGCAGCATCAACTGTCTCATCTTCACGTGCCACGGTAACATCCTCTATCGTGTCCAGAGAGCCCGCGCTCCCTGTTCCCAATTCTTGTACCGGTGTGAGCGCCTTCAGGTTCGGGTTCCAGACCGCCAGCGGATGGAGAGCTGTCAAGCTCGCCGGTTCTCTTTCTGGTCCTCGTGGCGTTGCGGTGGATTCACAGGGAAACCTTCTCGTGGTTCAGTCTGGAAGAGGCGTCACAGTCCATACTTTCGGTAGTGACGGCTGCATCTCGTCATCCAAAACCTTGATCAACAACCCGTCTCTCAATCATGGAATCGGCTTCACGCCAGACGGGAAGACTCTCTATGTCAGCTCCATGACTACGGCCTGGTCGTTCACGTATGATGCCCAATCGCAGACTGTAGATGGGCAGACCGTGGTAGTGAAGGGCATGCAGCAGGGCGGACACCCGACGAGGGCGCTTCTTATCCCCCCGGCCACGCCACACTTGCTTGTAATTCAGCACGGCTCATACAGCAATTTTGACTATGAATCACTCAACAAAGGAGTTGCGCGGGCCGTTGTCAAGGTGTTTGACTTGCGCAGCGTGCCCTCCGGAGGCTACACATACAACACTCAAGGGTGGTTCCTGGGCTGGGGTCTCCGCAACGAGGTGGCCCTCGCCGCTGACGGAAACAACATGTGTGTTTGAAGTATGTCTTCTTTATCCAATAACGCTGACTGTGATGTAGGATCTGGGGTGTGGAAAACAGCGGAGACGACTTCGCCCGCACAGTGAATGGCAGGAGCTACGACATTCACAATGACAATCCTGCGGAGGAGCTGAACTTCCGTAAGTTTATTCACTAATAATCCATTAAACTTCTATCTCGCTAACACCGATAGTTGGCGACCCTTCCAAGCCAAATGATGACTGGTACGGTTACCCAACCTGCTTCACTGTTTGGGAGCCCTCCTTTATTACGGATAAGTCTTTCAGGGTCGGCCAACAATTTGTCGTTGCGCCGAACAGCACCTTCAACGATGACACCTGCACGTCTCGTTCCATCGCGCCTCGACTATCAATACAGGCCCACAGTGCGCCCATTGGGTCCGTATTTGACCAAACCTTCCAGAACCTATACGTCACGCTACACGGGTCTTGGAATAGGTCCCCTGCAACGGGATTCAAGGTGTCTGTTGTCCCATTCACAAAGCTCTCAAATGGTCAATATGACCCCGTAGCGCCTCCAGACTCAAAGAACGGCTACAGTGATATCTTTTGGAGCACGAATGTGGGCAGCTGTACTGGAGCCACGTGTTTTAGGCCGTCTGGTATCACTTGGGACCGTGAGTTTTCGAGGTTGTTCGTTGCTAGCGATAACACCCAAGAGGGGGAGCTGTTCATGTTGGTTAAATCATAGCTAGAAATAGGAACACGCATGAGGGAGTTAAGGTAACAATGTTGACAACCGACTTCCTCCTGTTGACGGTGAAGTCGCTCAATCAGCTTTTCACCATTGTAGAGCACAACTTCGATCTTAATTCTAGATGTCTTGTCTTTGGAAGTTGCAATAATGCCAATAAATGGTTCCATGGTAGTCTTTACTGCCAAGACGACAACAGCCGATACTCACAATAGCCGGGACATGTCGCGGAACCACAAGCGCCGTTTTTCCCTATTACGCCAGGTAGGAGGAATGGGGACTCTGCTCCGAGTATATGATGCGTTTCGGCATCTTTGACGAATACCCGTCGGTCAATGCGGTCCGAGCCGCAGTATATTCAATCACCAAGGGTCTAGGAAATGCAGTCTTGTGACCCGAGACTATTGCCTGGTAGGTCGGATGCGCCACTGTACACAGGTTCGAACCATGGACGCCATGAGTCGCAGAGGACTGGCCTTTTCCCATCGCCTAGATCTTATTGATCGTAGATTAACGACTCGTCTGAGGGTACTGGTGTGGATGACGACTCGGAGCGACGAGATAACAACGAAAAGTGACCTCAGTTCACCGGGATCACCGAGGATGAGAGGGTTACTATGGCTGCTGTTCTCCAAGACAGCTTCCAGCGCCGCATATTGGATGAGGAATGGGCCTTGGAGGGCGATCAGCTGGTTCGGGAACGTCGCCAACCGTCCTAATGGCAACACTTTGGAGAAGGTAATGGACGGTATACAAGCGCCGTCACCCACGAGCCTCGGGGCAACAAGCGTCTCTCCGGCATTCCGAATGCGCACATTGGCTCCTGCTGCCAACTGATCCAATGTTGTAAACTTCTTTGATAGCTGGGTTGCCACGTGTCACCGCCAGCTTTTCACTAGCCATGTTTTCATTAACAGTCACGGGGCGCAAGATGACATTGGCTTCGGAACTTTTATCGTCAATGTTGCCGCAGGACCATTTAGGAGAAACATTCTTTTACCTTTGGAAGACGGCAAGGGGCCTGAGCACAACAACCCTTGATTTCCTGCTTCGAGCGACTCTTGAATTGAGCGGGCGAATGGTTGGAAGAGTTTCGGTGATGGGAAGTCCAGGTATTCTGGATGTGATCCATGACTTGGATTGAAATAGTGAGAGTGGCCGCGTTGATAGATGCTATTGGTTCTAGTTGCCCCGAGCTTTCATGCTTTCCGGGATGTCGCGACACCAAGATCTGGATACGGTGCGACGAAATGTCCGAAAGTACCGTCTTGGCATCTGGGATGCATCAAACTTCCTGACAGAGACGAACGAGGGAACAGTTACAACAGACAATAGCATCAGGAGCAACGCGAAGTATGGCACTTGAATAAGTCTATTTGTTGGAACCCACAACAAGGCACGAAGATCGCCTCCAAACGCGGCCTGTAGACCTATGAGTGCAGCTAACTAAACTGGGTCAATGTCCTCCAAAGAAATGAAATTCGCTCTGCTATGAAATACTTCGCCATGCTCTCGATCTGAAAATGCGCAGAGTTGGGATTTTGAACAAGTTGCATGCGGGGAGTTTTCAGGGGTTTCCACCGAGAAGTCACTGGGGGATCCCTTGAAGAAGTTCCTCGAGGCTACCAGAGGTAACCACAGTGGTCTTCTCACACAGCTCAGGGGGGCAGTTTTCCTCATATGCCTATCGAGCTTAGTCAACAACATGATACGTTCGGTTCTAGATCATGCTTACATATAACGTTCCAGGCTTTCCGGTGCAGTCGTCTCTCAGAGGTACGTGCCTGGTGACCGATTCAGCAAGAGAGGTCGGGCTCCAATTGAAAACCAAAGGAGCGAGTGGCTCGGCCTCGCGGTATTGGTTGATGTTCTCTGTGTCAAGGATCAGTCACTCGACTCCAAAACGTTTAGGGGAAGCGGCAGCATGATACCTTCAAAGCGGTTGACAAGCTCCAGCATGGTCGAGTTCCTAATACCCCATCCCACGCCGGTGACTCCCCAACGTCTGCCCTTCATGCGGTCTGCAATGTTGGAAGCCGGTTGATCGGGTCCTTGGAAGAGAACTGTGCTCCATCTTTTAGTTCCAGTAACATGTATTCTTCCCGTATAACGCACCATAGACATTGAATCCAGCCTTGACGAGGTTTGCTGTATCGTTGCGCAAAGCAATGTCAGTTTGAACCGGATCAAAACCTCTAGAGAGGACAAGTGGATGGTACGCCGTAAGTCCGCTATAGACACGTTAGAAAGTCGAGGGAACTCTTCTCTCGTTCAACTCACGTGTAGAACACGTTCACCTCACCGCAGGTTGCGTTGGTGGGGAAGGTTATCTTAGGTGTCGGGATCGGGTCGCTGGCATTCGGTGCAGTCAGAGCACATCCAGCAGCAACACAGACAGCTCGGTTGAAGAGGACCATGATGGGAAGCTTGAAGTAAAAGTTTCGGAAGAAAGTTACAAAATCTTGGGAAGGATGAATGGATTAAACTGTAGACAATGAGTCTGAGTCGAAACTTCAGCATATCGAAGTCGGGATCCTGAATCTATCTTATAGCTAATTTTCCGACATATCATGTATCGCAGATGCTTAACACTTGATCTTTACTTCCTACCATGCTAGAATGCTTCGTCCATCTCCGGTAAACCAGCAGAGTCATCACCAGAGCATCTCGATATCCACTTCGGGCGCACTTTTCGGACGTTTCGGATGGTCGAAATGCGCGACTCGCCGCTGTGCCTTCCAAAGCTCCTTGACGCAAGACCAAGCATCGCAGCGAGGCCAAAGTAGGAACTTCGCGAAGTCAATTGCACTTGCAAGGTATAACTTCTGGGCATCGCAACAAGATTACTCCTGAAGCTCCTTAGTGGGGCGTTTGCTGCCGTATCTAGGCCGGTCCGCTGGTTGTCTTCCGGTTGACTAAGCGGGATCGTCTTCTGGCCGTAGTTGTCAAGATGCGGTCAATATTCGAGTCGGAGGTGGCCGGAGAGCGGATCACAGAAGGATTTGAGAATCGATTTCAAACCAAGAGTGCATTTCTAAGCCGGAATCTACCAATGGTTGCAGCTCACCTTCTAACAGGACGGACACGGACTTCTTGGCCACTTTCATCCGAACACCTCATGACGATGGAGCTCGCTGCGGAGCTCAAGGCATAGGTCAAGGCGCAAAGTGTGATATTTAAAGTGCATGGCTATGAGACTCCCATCTTCAACAGCACTACCAACAACACTTGTCTCGATACCAAGGATCATCATTCTCCAGGCCACTTTGGAACACGGCACCATACGCAGCGCAGCTATGTCTCTGATTAAGCCCGTCACTGTATATGTCCTAGGTACGCCTTAGACACACGCGTAGATGGAAGACTGTGGGCTAACAGGTTGTAGGAGGTGGCCCGAACCCCTTCAAGGTCTTGATCACCCTGGAAGAGCTTGGCATTCCATATGAAAAAATCGAGGTCGAGGACGTTAAGAGCGAAGCATTTCTCAAGCTAAACCCCAACGGTCGTACCCCAGTCATCACAGATCCCAACAATGACAACTTCACACTATGGGAGTCTGGCGCGATTGTCGAGTACCTGGTCGAGAAGTACGATGCGCTGGGGAGTTTGACCCTCAAAGACAAGAATAGCAGATGGCTGCTGCAACAGTATCTGCACTTCCAAATGTCGGGACAAGGCCCCTATTACGGACAGGCGGTGTGGTTTTACCGACAGACCGAAGACATCCCAACCGCCAAGCACAGGTACATCGAGCAAGTCTTGAGAGTATTCGGCGTCTTGGACGGAATTCTCAAGGACAGGGAGTATCTCGTTGGTGGCAAATGGTAGGTACATTGGCCCCGACATTGCTACAAGGTGCTCACCAGTCTAGCACCTACGCCGATCTATCCTTCATCCCGTGGAATCGGGTGGCTCTTGGAGCACCGTTTTTCAAAGACGAGCTCTGGGAGAAGCATAAGATTAAGACTCGCTTTCCTCATTTCTTGGCATGGCATGGACGCCTCAATGCCAGGCCGTCGGTCAAAGCTGCCTATGGAGCCTGAGGTGAAATCTTTGTAGGTGTCTGGCTCGTAGCCCCATGCAAGGTGGCGGACTAGACATCGTAGATGGGAAGGAGCATATTAGAATGCGCAAGTATGTGATGGACTATGGGTGGTCGAAAGAATTATACTACATTGGTATTTGTACATAAAGCTACGAAAATACATGTACGTAAATGATTGTCTCACAGATTGCCATCAATCATGCTATCTGGTGGCAAACTCCAATCGACTATTTGCAAGAATCCAGCCGAGAGCCAGTTATGGCTACCGTGGGATATGCCCTCCCAGTTGTCCTGGTCAATTGCTTCAGGGACCGGGAGAACAGGCACAAACTCTTCATTTCCATTACCCTTGTCTATGGTCAAGCTCAGACCATTGAGAGCTGTGCCGAGGGGTTCCTGCACCGCGTTTGGTGGATCCACGACAACAGATACTGCTACTTCGTACAATGCCTTGATGATGTGGTAGGAGGCAATCTTCTGGTGGTTCACGTCATACCTTTCGTAGAACGAGAGGACGAGTTTGATCAGCTCGATATCCTGTGCCGCTGTGGCGGACGTCTTGTTCTCGATGATATTGATGAAGAGAATGTCGACGCTCCAAGCTACCTGATAAAGAAGGTATCTGGTCTGAGTCAGTATGGCCGGGCAGTCTATCCATTGAGGTGCTACTAACATTGTGAAGGGATGGTCGATGTGGTGGTAGTTCAAGAGTGATACAGCCCCACGAGCAGCATTGACGCAGATAGCAACGCTGGGGCGCAGAAAGTCCATGTCCTGCGCAGACAATGGCATTCTAAGCGCCGCCGAATGAACTGCTACCACCAACTGGAAGTACACGAAGTGCAAGACACTCAATGCCATCAACCTAGCATGATTGTCATCATCCAGAGAGGCACCTGACTGCTTCGGGCGAATCATTTCGGGGATACTATCCCGCCATTCCTGGAGCTCTCTATCCAGGAGGCTAATTTCAGATTCTAGGGCAGTCGCTGACGTCGGGCTGTTCAGATACAGTCTTGAGTAAATTCGGCCCTGGATTTGTGCTAGCTTGACTTCCTGCCGAAAGTAGTTGAGAACGACGTCGCCCGGATAGTAAAAGAAGCCATAGCAGTCCAAGGGATACTCTTCGGGCAAGTCAACGAGGAAGTTATCAGTGATTAGAGGCGGCTTCCCAATCCGTAGCATCAAGTCATGGTCAAAGATGTAGGCTTGCCAGAAAAGACGCCGACGATGTTGGATTTCCGAGTCGCTTAGGCCGGGATGGTTGCTATGGTAGTAACCTCCTAGAAGGAGAGACTGCGTTGCTAGAGCCAGAACAGAAACAGCAATGTGGTTTTCGGCGGTAAAAATGAAATGGGACACCTGCATCGTCAATACTGCAACTCAATACCGCGGGATAACAGACTCACCAGCGCAAGGAGAGCCCCTATGGTCATGGGGCAGGGTGAATGCAGCATGGCGGTAGGTATGAGGGCCATGGCATTATGCAAATATTTCTCATGTTCTCGTGTGCCGTGGAGCAAATCTCGTTTTCGATGAGGGTGCAGGAGGATGGTGTATAGGGCTATCTTCCAACCGATGCTGCTTGACGATTGTCCATGTAGATACGACTGAACCGCGGCGCGGACTGACGACTCATCAAAGAATTTGATGTGTCGGTTGAGAGTGATGAAGAAGTCTAGGACGCGAACAGATCAGTCGAATTGATGACTTGGTTGGTTTTGAATAAGGCAGCATACCTTTCATGCATTCCGCCACAACAAAGTCCGATGGGAAGGAGTCAGTGGCTGTGGAAACATAGTTGAGGGTTCTTTGTGGCGGGATGCTATTGATTTGGTCTAGAAGTCCGCGGGCAACGCCAGAGAAACGCTTGTCCCCAACCAACGTGTCAATCTTCTCCATGCCCTCGGCCGAGAAAAGCAAACAAGAACCTGTTGGCTTGGTCAACTCCTAGTTCCCATGCAGCTGAGCTGACATTTATGAAGTTGATACGTACCACCGGCGCCGATGGCAGCTTCGGGCATAGCGTCAGCGTGGAACAGCTTCGGCCCAGATGAAGTTGTGCTTGACGGGGATGTCAGACTCGGATCGGGCTGTGGTGGGTTCTGTGCCTGCGACGTCTTCATCCATGTGGAATGGTCAGTAGTGGCGCCATTTGACGAGGCCTCGCTCATGGCCCGAGGCTGGGCCTCCTGAACCGATTGTGGTTCCTGCAGGTCTTTGACCAAGCGCTCTATCTGAGCTAGTCTTGCGGTGACATTTTCATAGAGTCTCTCTCTGGATAGGGGCGATCAAGGTTAGTCGGTTGGTTGTGGTTTTAGGATACGCGGAAAGTAAGGCAGGCAAGCAGGCAGGCTGGTGACTAACGTCTTTTCTTTCCGAGGATTGTTCTTCTTTCTTTGAGGCCAGACGCAGTCCTGGCCGTATCGTTCGCAGGTGGAGCATATTGGTTTCCGGTGGTCGCACTTTACCTAATCATTCAGTTGGCACATCGAGCGTACCAAAAGAGAGAATGGCTAATATCAAACCTTGCGACGTCGGCATGACGAGCACGAGAGAGATGGAAGCCTCACGGCCGCTGTGAAAGAGTCGGCATCCGGGACTTGCGGTCTATGCTGGGATTGCATCGTAGTAGGGCTTCGGAAGGACATTAAAAAAAGCCCTGCGATTGAACATGTGTTCCGGCGCTCTCGACGGTCAAATGTTCGGCAGTGGTTTGTTGAGTAGTGGAAAGATGGATAGATGGTAGATGTTCGGAACCTGCCGACTAACATGGAAGACACAGACGGACGTATCGCCTGCCTTCGGACAGGAAAAGTTCCGTCCGACGTTTTTAATGTGGTTCTCGCTCTCGCTTTTAGAGAAAAAGGCTTGGCTTCCGTTAAAAAGGGTTGCATTCCGTTACAAAAGACTATCTGCTAGAGCCCGATCCGCGGCGCGAGCATAAAGAAAGTTTACCAGGGTGCCAGATCCCTAAATAATGCCCATTTGCCGTAGGAAGAACGAATTTCACAATATCGTCGAATTATACGCAGTAATTATGCGTTGTACGAATACCATGGCACTACGGTGGATTGGGTTCAGTTTTATGTGATACCTACCTACCTCACCTTATGCACGGGCATCTGTCAGGATAGCCCCCCCAGCTGGGACCAGCTGTGGATTGCTCACCGGCACACCGACAGTCCGGAGACACTTCCGGAGCTCCACACCGGTACCTGGCGGTGAGTAGACCAATTGGAGTCGACGTTGAACTTTTCGCTGTTCCAACTGTTCCAACACCGAACGGCTCTCTCCACGCCCGGCTTAAGCCGACCCAGGTTGCCGTCGAAGGCGGCGCGTCGACCGATAGCCAGCTTCAGCGTCTCACGACTACGCACATCGTCACGATGGCAGGTGGTCGCAAAAGCAAATCCTCGGGCCCCGCGCCTCCATCAAGAACGCTCGTCCTCGACAACGGCGCGTCCACCATCAAGGCTGGCTTCGTTTCCGACGAACTCACCGAAGACCCGCGAATCATCCCTAACTGCATCGCCCGCGATCGAGTAAGAAAGGTCTACGTCGCGTCAGACCTCGAGAAATGCCGCGACTTCGGAGAAATTCAGTTTCGCAGACCCGTCGAGAAGGGCTTCATCGTCAATTGGGAAGCCCAGAAGGAAATCTGGGACCACGAATTCTTCGATGACAAGGCGCCGCAAAAGTGCGACCCGAACGAGACGAGGCTGCTGCTCACAGAACAGCCCAACTCACTGCCTATTTTGCAGTCAAACTGCGACCAGGTTGTCTTCGAGGAGTACCAGTTCGCTAGCTTCTATAGAGGCACAGGTAAGTCCCTCCACTGTTCCATGTTTCGCCCAAAGGCGTCGGTCGGCCATGAGCTAACTGCCATGCTTCAGGTGCCTCGTTCAATGCGTACCACGATATCCAAGGCATTCTACAAACCCCTCGAGACCCGAACACTGTCCCGCAGCTTCCGGCCGAAGTCGTCCTCCTCATCGATTCGGGCTACTCCAACACCATCGTCACTCCTCTCCTCAACGGTCGGCCCCTCCAGTCGGCCGTTCGCAGACTCGACGTAGGGGGGAAGCTCTTGACGAACTACCTCACCCGCCTTCTCTCCCTCCGATACTACGACATGCGAAACGACACCTACATCGTCAACGAGATCAAAGAACAAGCCAGCTACGTTTCGCTAGACTTCAATGGTGACCTTGAGAAGACATGGAAGGGAACCCGAGGCGAGATAAGAGAGCCATACATGACCGGGGCGGGCATCGCCAAGGACTACGTTCTGCCTGACTTTCACACCCGTACCAAGGGCATCGTCCGAGACTTTGACCCGGCAAATCATACCAAGGCGAAGAGAAAGGCGGCAGCGGACAACAACGAGGATGTTCTTACCTTGCGCAACGAACGCTTTTCCGTACCTGAGCTCCTCTTCCAACCTTCTGACTTTGGCCTCCGCCAGCCCGGTGTTGCCGATGTCGTCATGCAATCGCTCTCCGAGCTGCCCATCGGCCTATGGCCAGGTCTGCTGGCCAACATTGTGGTTGTCGGCGGCAATGCCTTATTCCCGGGTTTCATCCAGCGACTCGAGAAGGAGTTGGTTAAGAGGGTTCCGGACGCCTGCATTGTCCGTGTCGCACATCCTGTCGACCCCATCACGAGCACTTGGTACGGCGGTGCCAACCTGGCGAAGCACCCCGACATTTTGAAGTACTCTGCCACAAAACAGGAGTACGAAGAGTACGGCGGGGTCTGGATCGCTCGAAAGTTCGGTTCAGGAAGCACAGCCGAATAAATCCTTGTGCTCTATGATACAATACGGTAACCCTACTGTCGAAAAGGACATGCCTCTCAAAAAACCGCCCCAGGAACATTCCACTCTGGCGTAAACCAGCTGCTGAATACCCCCGATGCATAAGTCTATGAATCAAAAACAACCAACTGCTATGCGTGTACAAAGAGAACAGTCTTGGGAATATCAAATGCGCCACCACCCGAACAATACCTCCCAAAGAGACTTCTGGTGCTGTGTAAACCCTCCGATGTCATGCGGTCGAGGAAAGAACTTGATGGAGGGTTGGATGGATGGCCTAGCGCGATCGTCAGCCCAAGCATTCAATGGTAACAAGGGTTGAGGTCATACTGTAGACTACCTACTTGGAGCCTTGAGCCTCGCATCGTTTCAGGCATTCGGCAGACCCAATAGAGGCGCCGGTACCGACAGCCGGAATGTCACGTCTGAGCTGGACGAACTTGGCGGACAGAGGATTCCCTCCGAATGCGGCGGCAACCACACTTTGAGGGAGATCGAACAAGCCATTCGCGACGTTATGTGTCCCGGCATCCTCCGAACTGAGAGCTGAGATGAGGGTAGCATTTCCACAGCCTAAAGAACACATGGTTAGTCTCTGTTCTCGCATTGCCTCAGTAGCGGAAACTTACCAGTATTGGACATAGAATGTAGACTCCCCTGCGGGAAAAGAGTCATCATTCCAGGCTCCAGCAGCGTCTTAACGACGCGTGCGCCGTTTTCCAGAGTCATGTATGTCTCGGTAGTCCCTTCAACCGACACGACGTAGTTGGAGGCCCTGGCATGGTAGTGAGGTGGCAGCATGGCGCAAGGGCCGAGGCTGATCCAGGCCATGGTCATGCCGTTGCCAACAGTTGCTGGGAAAGTGGCCGCATTGGCGTTGACCACACCGCCGGGGCTGTTGGTGTGGAATGCATGCGAAAAGTAGTTGAAGGTCCAATCCTTGTCGTCTGGCAGTATCTTGAGCTTGTCGAGCTCTGTCGGGCTGGACTTCAGAGATTTGACAACATCCGGGTACAGAACCTCGTCGGTGGCGATGGCACTCGCTACGAGTAGCCCAAAAATGATGAAAAAGACTGTTTTTGGCGACATTGAAGCGGCGATCATGTTGGACGAAGTGAACAAGGTTAAGGCGACCAGAAAGGCGACCAACTCAATCGTGAATATCCCGTCTAGACCGTTCGTCCTCTGGCGGACTAGGACGAGGCGACCTTTTATCAGCCGATCCCTGACTATGTCCTAGACGGCTTTGTGCTGTTACTAGAGCCCCAACTGGCCTCGTGAGGCGCTCTACAGCAATGGAAGCTGCGCGAGGGGGGTGCAGCGCGGGGACCGAAGAGACTCAAGCAGAGCCAATGACGTCAAATCAAAACACCGGAACGCTTTCCATTCGGGCAACAAGGTGCTACTTTCCCATCCTTCTGTATCTGTGAAGATCAAGGAATCCATCCATTGCTGACGAATGAGGATGACCGATCCTCTGGGCTCTCCTCAGAGATCTCGATCATCTCGATCGCTCATGAAGGTCTGTCGTACACGGAACCCTGGAAGTAGAGAGGACTCTGGAAGCCTGGGACCCTGAAACTCTCGGTGCTCAGTACCAGGCGAGTGTGCAACTTGCCACCCCGCCTGTGCACGGCGAGGAGCACACAGGGACCATGGTAAAGTGGTTTGCCATGTCACATCCCGATATGTAGCTGGGGCGCGGCCGAGCTGACTGGAGATGATACAGCCGTGTATGCCCTATTTTCAAGCTGTTCCAGTGCCTTTTCTGCTGCGCAGTACTGCGGATAAGCCCCCTTGAGCAAATGATTCGATGACACCGTCAAGAAAAGGTTTTGAACCAGCTGATGGGACTATTCTGCGAATGCATCTGAAGGCAACCTGAGAAGCTCAACCGGTTTTCGGTAGAAGGTGAGTTAGAGGCGGAGACTCAAGTGCCCTTGGAGTAAGATGGTGTAACCAACGGATTTTTCGCATCGCAAACTCAACTCGGTATTCGGCTGTAATCTGTTTGTGGGGGAGTGCAAGATGTTGAATACGAAAGACTCCACCTTCTGATCGCTGTGTTTAGTATCGTTGACAGGTTACCCATCCCTGGTGAGATGAGCATTTGTCCACGCTGAGGCGCCGTCGTATACCTTGTGGTCTGCTGCTCGTGACGTTGAGAGCATGGTGTCTGAGGCGAGCTGTTTCCCTTTCTGGATTATCAGTGCGGATGAGGCTACCCGCCACGTAACGTGGATATCTCAAGGAAGCTTCTCCGGCGTCTCCGAGGCCGCCGGTCTGTCAGGCTCATACGATATATGATCTTCAATCCTCACTGACTCTCCATCATAGGAATCGTCAGCAGCGATATGAGTCAAATCACCTCGTGATGCTGGTCATGACAGACATGGCGGAGGGGATGATGATATGAGCCTCATCCATATCGCTACGCCGACATGCGGCGACGACTCCATAGTCATTCGAGTCCACACCCAGTAAGCACCTGTCAGTCGGAGTTAAATGGCCGAGACATCTCCTAACATCTCGTGACGAACCCAGGTCTGCCTTGACTGCCACCTACCATCCTTTCGAGGGGGGAGTGGGTGGAAGCGGCCGAGTGCCGTCTCTTGCCCAGAAAAATACCGACAAATTCCGGACTGTCACGCGGCAAAAAGACAAGGGTAAAAAAAACAAGACACAAAAACAAGACTGAAAGGGAGAGATACTAGTCAGAGATTTAGACACATTTGACCGAAACAGAATTAAGAAAGTCTATTACATCCACAGGCTTTGGCATTTGACGCCTTGAAAACGCTTCACATCAATGAAGGGTATCTTACGAGAAAGACATCACTGCTCGCTGATGGGAACCCACGTCCTCCCAGCGCCGGAGGGGGACCAAGCCAGATACGAAAGCATCCCCAAAAGTCGGGCCTACGCGCCCCATCCTCGAGATGAGCCAGAAAATGAGAGGAGGAATGGTGTCACGTCTCAGTGACATATGAGAGTGGAGATATTCGGCACAGGCAAGAAGGGGAAAGATCAGGGCCGAAGCCAAAGGCCTTTTCGGATTGGGTTCCGTTGTGATGCATTCCCCTTCAGTGGGTTGCCGTTTACACGGCAAGGGGCTCAGCACGCCCAGGTTGTATCGATAATTTTACAGGTGTCGCAAGAAGCGTCCTCTGCTTGAGCACCCTGAGAAAGTACGTCAGTTTCTTTCTTAGAATTCTGCGGGGTTGGGGTTTGTTCTACAGTCACACTGGATATCTAAGGTCAGCAGGGCCACACAAAGACGAGTGCCGAGGGGTTTACTTACGAAAGTCGAGGTCGAGCCCTCATTGTGAACCAGACAGTAGCCGCCACAGCAGCCTCTACAGAGCCTCTGGGTGCGTTCAATGCAATCGTGACACTGTTTCTTGCCGTCAGCTTGAGTCCATGATCGACGGAAGCCTCAGGTCTAGGCTCGCCGACGAGGGTCCCGACTCACATTGCTCCCACACTCCCAGCAACTCTTAGTGATACGAGCCTACATCGATCTCGGTCAGCATCTTTATATCCAGCTATCTTGTGAACGGTGGCGAATTGAGCAAACAGGCGCAAGATGCGTAAGAACATAGACAGCATTGTGGCATACACTTTGGAGCAGACTACGCCGGACAAGAGTAGTAGAAACCGTCCGGCCCGGCCTAGCGTAGCGCATCGATGACCTCGCTTGCGGTGCATTTCGGGAAGCATGTGCCGTTTCGTACCTTAATCTTGGGCTGGCTCTGCTGTTCCTCATGCTGGACCCAGGCACCTCCCTCGGCGTCGACAATGATCACATCGGTTTCGGCCAGCTCGATGGCGGTGGTAGGCGTTTGATAGCATTCCTCGCACCACCACTTGTTGCAGTCGGTGCAGTAGCGTTCGCGGAGGCAATCGAGGCATCGCGCAACGAACGAGTCGGTCGAGATCGAGCCGGTCCCGGTTTGCGGAGTTGTTGCCGCCTTGATCGAAGACGTCAAGACGGGCGGCGGAGCCAGAAGCGGGCGATGGCTTGCCGGCGTGTCCTTGTGAATAGTCATTCCCTCGGGGGCGGCGCCGCAGCCGGCGCAACCGCCCAGAGCAACAGTCGCGACGGCCCAATGGCGCGCCGAGCCCGGAACCCTTACCTTGCCGTAGGCCGGGGAGTTGAAATGATGAGGTCCGGAACACGGTAAGGCGTCGAAGGCGATGATACCGTGGCAGTCGACCAGGGTGTTGGCCCACTCCTCAACGAGCGGGCGAGTGATGATGCGGCCCCTTTTCTGGTACCACTCATCGCCCTCGCTGCGAAGGGAGGAGCTCAACGCCTGCTGCGACTTGGCATTCCACCCTGCGCTGATCTGCGCGGCGGCCGAGACCGCAGCGGCAGACGAGACGCCTGATGCCGTCATCGGGGGCAGCTTGCTGTCTGGCGCTCCAAAGATATACAGGCCCTTCAGTCGGGGCATACCCTCTGGTCGCGAGGGCCTGCAGGCATGTTGAAGGGAGCCGCAAAGCCTGCGCTCGTTGAGGTTCTTTGCGCCGCGGACGGAGAGAATGCGAACACTGTAGCTCGGGTCGTGAATGATTTCGTGGCAGAGCTCGGCGGTGACGGACAGGCCGTCAAGGACTAGCGTCTGCACATCTTGAAGGATGTTTCGGCGGCGGATGCTCGAGAAAATGCCTCTCAGCGGGCCAGAGTAGAAGCTGTTGGGGCATCGTCGCGTCAGTATTGGAGTTTTGCGATTCAAGTGTCATGCGATCCTCCGCAGTGGAGACTGAGGCCGCTTTGCGACCGGTAATGACGCCGTTGAACGGCCGTTGAAGAGCCGTTCGGAGCTTCGGAGGAAGCTCAAGATGGGGCTGGATTGGGACAAGGACGAGAAAAGGAAGCTGAAAAAAAAACCACGCACTCATCTTCGGTCAGATTCTCGTCAAGTTGAACGTTGCGCCATACTTCGCCACCGCGGCCGATACCATCAATGTCAAACTGCGCTGTGCGGACCTGGGTGAGGTCGAGATGTCTGAACACGCCCGGAGTGTGGGTGACGAGATCTCGGAAGCTTCGGCTCGTGGATGCGAGACTCAGACGATCATGGGCAGAGAGATGGGGAGCTGTGTGGGCGAGGATGAGAGGATTGTAGAGGAGATTGATGAGACTTGTGGGTGGGTTCTCGTAAAGCGTGTAGGCGTCGTCGACGTCCTGGAGCATGTTACGGCGAACGCGCGCGATGGGGTGATTTGGGGGAGCTGAGGTTCTGGGTGTTATGCGACGGCCGGAAACCACGAGGGCTTACGGCGATCAGACTGGAGGGTGAGATGTGTTGCTTGTGGTGTTTAGTTGGAGGGAAAGAAAGAGAATGCGACAGCAACCTCAGAGCTGAAGATGTCCGTCGTCTCGAAGGGTGATCGGGGCGGGATCGCTGGCGCGCAATCTCTCGGTCTCGGCTTCTGGACGGTGACGTTGGCGGCGACTTGTTTACATGGGGCTGAACGTGTTGAGAGCTTTGCTTAGTGTTAGTTGACGTGAAGGACCATGTCAAGAGACATATCTTCGAGGGAAGACGTGTCGGTCTAAATATCTACGCCATTCGAACCTTGCCAGGCACAGGAAATGCGGACGGCGGGATAGTGTCCGGGGCAAGCAAGGCAAGACAAGAAACGTGGGAGTGTCCATCCATCTGCTACGGTAAATTACTATTCTGGACCGTAAGGGTGAGGGTGGTAGCTTTGCGGTGAAGAGGTACTCCGTGAAGCGCGCAAGCAAGGCAAGGCCATGTACACGGCGAGCAAGGGACCTTGGACCTTGAACTTTGGGTCGACCGCACCGTCAGTAAGATGCGCCGAGAGATGCAGCACGGGCGGGCTAGAGCCCAGCAGGCTAGACCGGTCTAAGATCCAAGTGGATGAACGTCCAAGTTGCCCACCCAGATGATACCCTTGTTGATGTACTCTACGCGGCTGGCCCTCCAGTCTGCTGTACTCTCGTTTGCTGTGTTTCGCAAAGACGCTGAAATAGCTCCATGGAAGGGAGGGGGAGGAAGAGAGTGAGTACGTAGGAGAGGCGCGCATCAGTAACAGGGGAGGATTCCACATGTACCCCGGTACAAACGGGCAGTGACATGTCGCCTTCCTCACCAGGGCAGGTGTTGTCGTCGGCAGAAAGTGGTAGCGTGGTAGTATCTGGGGTTGGCCCGGTTGGGTCGGACCCTGAAAGAAGGATCGGCCGTGTCCAGTGGATGGGGTCATTGAGGGCCATTGGAGCAGAAGGGGGGAAAGGATAGTGCGGTTGAAACGGAAGAGCTTCAACCCGCCGTCTGGTGCGGTCTTGGCAGATGCAGAGCAACAGAGGAGGTCCGCTGCGCTGGCACGTCGAGGTCGAAGGTGTCCTGTCTGAGTCTCCGTGCCATGCATGCTCATAGTTATGCTGCCAAGAGTCGCTGTCTGTAGGAGAGGAGAGTGGCGGCAACGGTAACAGAACAAGAGTATGGAACGGACCGAAAGGTGAGGCAACAGATGGGGGGACACGGCAAGGGGTGGTCTAAAGTTGGCGAGGATGGGCGTGGATGAGACTGATGGGATGGGCAAACATGGACCATTGAGAGAAAAGGGGGGAAGAGGTGGTGAGGTGTGTTGTTGGGATGAGGTGAGGCGGCACTGGGCAGCAGCAGCAGCAGATGCTGCTGCATCAGGTCAGGCGGCGCGGCGGTGCACCCAAAGATCCCATCAAAAATGAGCATCTGTCTTTTTGGCGGCTGTAGGAAGTGAGCCCAGATACGCATATCCGCGAATGATGGGCCGAGATAACCAGAGGCCACTTGCCATTAGAAAATGAGATTCGTACGGCTAAAAGAGACCATTGGAGAGAGCGGATGACAGGTCTCCCTGGCTCGGCTGGGCACCCATCTCAACTACTTGGTAGACTCTGGAGGCTAGAGTTACTGGCCTTCGCCTACACTCTTCTCGTCCCATCGGATCCTTGGGGCTTATTAGATGCCGCGTAAAGAAGAAGAAGAAGGAAAAACGAGATCCAAGCTCCAATGAAGGTGTTCGAGCTGGGCGTGTCTTGCAAGTGTTACATGTCCAAATTAGCCGCTCCAACCGCTTAAACCTGCCCTGGCTGACGTGTTTGCAGGCAGTCCGCTGCCCTCACTCCGCCCCGTAGTTAAGGTTCCTCCGCTCGCTATTCGGTATTGGCGACCGAAATACCTACATGCAGCGGCGGCTGGGGAATCTCTTGACTTTGATATTCATGTCATGCAGCCAGTGACGGACGATGGGTAGCTCTGCCGGAACTACCTACCTAGATCAACATCTCGAGTAGGGTTCAAGTGCTGATTGGCCTCTCAACTCGTTTGACTCGGACTAAAGAGGGGAGTGCATGGGGGTCTTCAGGCTTCCGCTCCGCTCTGGAATTGAGGGCAGACGATGTCTGGCGCCATCTCTCTTGCACCCCAGAGCAGTAACGACAACCACCACCACCACAACACACCAAACCTACTCCAGTAAACCGGGGCAAGCGGCACGCCACAGTGGGATGCCCCTTGCTCGGTTGTCGACACGAACTGCTCAATCTGCTGGCGGGTTTGATCACGTTGCTCCTAGTGTTGTTACGGATACAGCAGCAGGATGATGATTCCCTGGGCGGCGCCGTTGTTCAGTGGGATGAGGTGTCGGGCACAGCGGCATGTTGCAGCAGTAGCAGCAGCCGCCAGACGGACGTGTAAGGCATCCTCAGTGGATGTTGGGGGTTCGCCATGCCTATTTTGGGGAGTGTTTCGGCGCGTTGATCCGCTAGCCAGGCCTGCTCCGGGGGTCACGGAGTTGCAGTCCGGAGTCGGGGCAGTCGGGGCTTTTGACCACATTTGTTTCGGTAGCTTTGATGTTTCTAGTGTTTCTGTTCTGGTCGATAGTGGAGGATAGGTAGCTGGATTCGGACGTGAAGCTTCTTGGCAACTGCGCATCATGATTCAGCTTAAGATAGCAATCGTCGACACCAGCAAGGTGACATCTGTTTTGTTTGGTTTTATTTTTGCTGGGCAATGGACGTGCGCCGCGGAGTCCTCGGGGAAGGGGGTTGGTGTTGCGGTGCTGTCATTGCACCACAATGCCCAGTGGACTGTGAGTGTCACAGACATTGTGGTTATCGCCAGACTCTGATTGGACAAGACTCTGGACAATGGATGCACCAGTCTGCTGTGGCTTGAGGAAGTGGCGTCGACTAAATTTCCACACTTCCCGGGCAGCCACTGGACCTCACGGAAGTCGGCGTCCGGCACAATCTCACCCCGGATCCGAGGAGGGAGTCCCGTCTGTGCTCCATGCTGCACAGTCCATGCTAACTGACTGGGTAGGGTCGTGTCCAGATGTCGCAGGCGGTGAGCCACGGACATAATGTGTGGCGCGAGCTGGCCCAGACGGGAAAGCCAATAGCGCGGCTGGCCTTTGACGTAATGTGGCTGGTGCCTGCTGCCGCCTGCCTTTGCGCTCGGCAATTTCCAGAAGGCAAGACCGAACGAATGGCACCCAATTTCTGCAGTGGTGGAATCCCAAAGAAACCCATCATTGTGCTGAATCATCTCGCCGCATCACCATGCTGTTTACCACCTGAATCAGCCTCGGATAGACCGCCCAAGAAGACGGTAAGGTCGCGCATTCTCTTTGCCAAAAGCTCTCCTGTCACGGTCATGTCGAACCGCAATAACAACTCTTCCCTGCGTCCACTTTGTCGATTTCTGCCCCTCCACCCCGCCAAACATACAACAAGCCGACTCATACTTCGCCATCCCGACGATACCTCGTCCTCCCCGAAAAGATAACCAACCGAGCGACGACTCGACGAGCCATCATGGACGAACCATTACCCGAGCTGCAGTGGTCGGCGCCCTTCGCTGTACTCCCACCCATCAAATCTGCTTCCAAGGATCTCCGCGGCGACAAGATCCTACTCCCACAATCCGCCCTCGAGCAACTGCTAGCAGCCTCCCCGAGACCCCCGGCACCCTCCAACTCGTCCTTCACCTCGTACGATCCTTTTAACCCTTACGCACGCCAGCACCAAGCCGCTTATCGAGATACCTCTCAGCAACTGCCGAATCCATTAATATTCCGCCTGGTAAACCAAAAGAATGGAAACGTCGTCTATGCCGGTATCCGCGAGTTCTCTGCTGAGGAAGGCGAGATCGCCCTTGGATCATATCTGATGGACGCGCTGGGCATACTCCCTTCTGACTTCAACAGTGATGGTACCGGAAGCAAACCGGTCGACTTGACAGTCGAGATGGACCGCGATGCTCAACCTCATGTCACTGTCCACGCGAAGCAGTTGCCCAAGGGCACCTACGTTCGCCTCAGACCTCTGGAAGCTGGCTATAATCCCGATGACTGGAAGTCTTTACTCGAGAGACAATTACGTGAAAGCTACACCACTCTTACCAAAGACACCATCTTATCCGTCCGCGGAGTCAAAGGCGAGCAATTCAAGTTCTTAGTCGACAAATTTCTTCCTGACGGCGACGGTATATGCGTGGTTGATACAGACTTGGAGGTTGATATTGAAGCCCTGAACGAAGAGCAGGCGCGGGAAACGATGCGCCAGATCATGGCCAAAGCCCAGCCTGGGACAGACAATGGCAGCTCCAAAGGTGGCCAGATCGACGTGTGGAAGAATGTCGATGGACAGGTCCTGCCTGACGAATATGTCGACTACGAGCTTCCGTCTTGGGACCGGAACCGGCCCCTCACAATCGAGCTTGGGAATCTGCCCGACGAGGATGAGGTGGATTTGTTCGTCAGTCCCAAGTCAACTCGGCAACGTGCTCTCCCGCGCGACTCCGAGCACGTCTTTGGAAACTTCGATCCTCCAGTCGACGGGAAAAAGTCAATGACAATTCAACCCACAAACATTGAGCTCGAGAACGCAGAGGAACTCCTCATCTCGGTGCATGCGTACCCGTCATTCAGCGCCTCCGGCTCACCGGTCCGTTTCTCGTTAAGGGCAAAGGCTGCTTCAGAAGACGGATCTCGGGATGGGCCAATTGATTTGACTAACGGTGATGTCAGGTCGCCGGACGAGGAGCAATGTAACAACTGCCAGCAATGGGTTCCTAAGCGGACGATCATTTTGCATCAGAACTTCTGCTTGCGAAACAACATCACCTGTCCAAAATGCAAACGCGTTTTCAAGAAGGGCTCGCCTGATTGGGAGGCGCATTGGCACTGCGAGAATGACAACGCCTTCGGTGACTCGCCATTCAGCCGGGCGAAGCACGAAGACATCCGACACACTGAACGGGAGTGCTATGCATGTAACTACAAGGCCCCGTCCTTAGTAGAGCTAGCACTGCATCGCACGAGTGTATGCCCCGGAAAACTCATTCTCTGCCAATTCTGCCATCTCGAAGTGCCCCAAGAGGGTGATCCCTTTAACCCGTCTGCAGAGGTTATTCTATCCGGTCTTACGGCTCACGAGCTGGCAGACGGTGCCCGCACGACAGACTGCCACTTATGCGGGAAGATTGTTCGCATGCGCGACATGGCGGCGCATATGAAGCATCATGAGTTGGACAAAGTCTCTCGTCCCAAGCCCGACATCTGCAGGAACGCAAACTGTGGCAGGACTCTTCATGGGGTGGGCACAACGGGTACAGTCGGAGCAGGAACCGCAATGGGACAGGGCCCTGGCAATGATCTCGGCCTCTGCTCCCTCTGTTTCGGGCCTCTGTATGTGAGCATGCACGACCCTGAGGGGAAGGCGCTCAAGCGTCGTATCGAGCGAAGGTATCTCAGCCAGTTGATGACCGGCTGTGGTAAAAAGTGGTGTGGAAACGAGTGGTGTCGTGCAGGAAGAGCCAATTTAGGGCTGGAGGCCAAGGGAGCCAGCGCGCAAGCCGCTCTTCCGCTCGTGAAGCCTCTGGTGCAGAGCATTCCGAACCTGCAAGAGCCGATGCATTTCTGCGTCGACGAAGGGTCCCAGAGACGCAGGAAGTTGGCAGAGATGTTGGCTGGCGAAGGAGTGTGGGATTTCGAGTGGTGTGTAGCGGCCTGTGAGGCAGCCTCGGGAGATCTTGACAAGGCCAGGGAATGGCTTGGCAACTGGGCGCCGACAAAAGCAACTTGACGTATAGATAGATGTACAAGAGGCGTTTTGGTATAGAGAAGAGGTTGCGAAGCATGATACCACATTTACGTAGAGGGCGGGGGTCACAACCTGGGAAATGATGAAGAGCCAAATCAGAGAGTATACGTTGTCGATCTTTTTGTTTGTAATGCCTGCAACACTCCACCTCGCCTGTGGCTATGGATTATCCTTCAGTTCCATCCGTACACATGAACTAGTACAGGTTGATCCAAATTCGCATCGCGTCATGCCTCCTATGAAATCATTCCTGCTCATTGCAAAGGACGGTATTCGGTATTTTGGCTGACGTATGGGGGTCTGAGGTCATCAGCAAGTCGACCCTCGAATCGGATGCTTGAGAAGGATCTAACTTACCTTAACAGGTTCTTGGCTCCAACGATGGCCGCCGTACCTCCCGAATAAATGCCCAGGAGTCTACTCCAACTGACGTTTCCATATGCGTTTTGACCGACACTTAGAGCAACCAAGTCGTAAGCAAGGCATCCGCCGAATATCCAGTCGCTAGCAGTCGCCAGAAGGCCAAAACCAACGCCCGTAAGCACTTTCACGGCAGTAGACGGCTGTTGTCCGACAAAGTAGGCTACGGAGCCATTGTGCAGAAGGTCCAGCACGCCGATTCCAGCAAAGGTCTTGGCTACGATGTGAGTGAGGACGGAGTTGACAGATTTGATGTTCATTTTCGGCAAGCGGCTGGAGATGAAGTAAAGCTGAGCGAGACTGTTGATGACGACCAAGATGTTGGCCGTCTTCAGATCCGAATTGTTCCAAAATATCATCCAAGCTATTGATTTATATCAGTCTTGCTCTCAAAATGATTGGAAACGAGCAAATCTCACTGGCGATGCAAAAGTTCCCGATAGCATAGAACGGTGCAAAGTCGACCATTGTGGAAACGTCGGCGTCTATCTGCTCCGCCTTCGGATCGGCCTTGTACAGGCGCCAAAGCCACGCCAGCTGGAACAGCTGTTGAGGGAAGAAGAAGCCAGCGATGAAAAAAGGTTGCGGGGAGAAGAAGGAAAGGTTCGCGTCATGGACATCTTTCATATTAGGGGTGCTGAGCATGCCATAGTTCTGGGCGGCAAAGTCGACGATGAACGACAGGGGCGCGAGCCACCTGGCGGTTGAGAGTGAGATACCCATCATTGAGATTAATGTACAGTACTAGGTGAATACGATATTGCTTCTGGGTGGTAGAGGAAGAACGTAGTAAGTTGTTGACGAAATTAGAGGGGTAATTGTGGTGGTCTTATTCAGTTTACAAGACAGGCAGGGATGATTGTTTGCATTTCTGTTGTACGCCAGTATGTCGATGACACGTTCGGTGTTCCCAATTGGCCGATGACCGACGCTCCCGGATACCACAGAGGTTCATGAGCTCATGATTTTGGCTGGATTGGTTGGCTTTGTGCACTTACGTCGCCAATTAAGTATCCTACGTCATTGACTTTTTGGGTCAGGACAAGCGCCGATCGGGTCCGTGATGACCGCCCGATTTCATCGGCCCCACTCCGAAAGTCCTTCACCCGAGACGGCCAGTCCCCGGCGGTATGAATATGTTATCAGCTCTAACTACACAGCAATGCCCGGTGCGTAGGCATTGAGGGCAGACAATTATGGGCAGGTTAAAGAAGCCCTGATGTGTTGATTGTATATTATTGAATTGATGTTGAGATTATAAGTCTAGTGAAAGGTATCTATTCTATGGTGCCTTGACGCTTTTTGAGTCGCTTATCGGACTGCTCGGACTATGTAGTTTCAGTGGCGTTTGTATGACTTCGGCATTTGCTTCTAGGTCCTTGTTGGAATCTGGCCGGGGGGGAGAATTGTCCATATTTGCCGACGTAATGCGTTGGATCTCTGCCATGTCGTCATTGGTCGGATCTGATGCTTTCGCTGGCCGGCTCAGAACGCTCATGGGATATGTGAGAGTTGATCCCGTCAACCCTGAGTCGTCGCCGAACACGTCTTTCCCTCTTCCATTTTCTTTGGACCCAAACGGACTGCGTCTCCTAGCATGGCCTATAGTTTCTACTGGTGGCAGCTGCGAGTCGTGGTTGGTTGTCTCAAACATTCGTTGGTACCAAGGAAGCCTCTGGGCCAGCTTTCGTAGAAAAGGCACGCAGGAGCAAATAATCAAGGTGCTGACTTCAGCCTCTGACCATATAATCGGGACGGCAAGGTCGTGGGTATCATCGAGACCCATTTCAGTCACGGAATGCATCCGGATAACAGAAATCGCACAGACCCTTACAAAACTTGTCAGTATCTAAGCGGAAGGCGGATAGTTGTGGGTAATTTGACTCACATCAAGCCAAGTGATAGCATCGCAATGAGACCAAGTCTCTTGATGATGGGCAATTGAAGCCTCCAAAGGAACGGTATCGGTTGAATGAAAAGGATCAAGTCCGTGCAAAGGTTGAAAGCAAACTGTATGTTTCATCAGCATCCGGACAGAAGCGATGATTCTGACGAGCAAGCGGACACTTACGCCAATCCACCACAGCACAGGCAGGTCCAGGCAGGTTCCTACCGTGCTCGGAATCCAGGCCTTCGCAATCGGATGACACTGGAAAATTGGAATCATGCTTTCTTCAATCGCTTGGCAGCAGAGGAATACCACGATCGTCTTGTTGACGATGATTAGTCGTCTCTCGGGAAGCATTCGGATGTACAGCACGGCAAAAGACATTTTAGCCAGCGCAAGACCGTAGCTGTACGTTGAAGATGTCGATATCGTTAACTGCACCGCAGTCAGGACGAGCCCACTTGCTTCATTTCTAATTGCCTGAACATACCTTGAGGAATCGCTCGTAATTTACTGGATCGACGTCTTGATGATGGCGGCCAAAGCCTGCATGAGCCGCTGTCCCGGAATTAGCTTCCGCTCCACCAAGAGCAAAGAACAATCCCTACGTACACACAAGAGTCTGGATGCACATGGCCATGGTGAACACCTGGAAACATGTTAATCAATCGTTACTTCCCTTGATCGAGAGCCGCGCTGGCACGCCGACATACCCAACTTGTAACAATAAGGACTAAAACGATTTGTCAGAGAGCACTTCGGGACTTCAGGGTATGATTTTACCTACCATCATCGAGTCCATATGTCCTCAGACTTGCCCTGACGCCTACGCGTACGGATATGACCAGCGTCGTAAGGCACATCATAGCTACAGTAGCACCGATGAGTGGTTCCACCAAGCTGTCTGCCATTTTGGTAGGCTCCCGTCACCGCCACTTCACTACTGTGTTCTGGATTTCATGGGAAGTTTCCGAGCGGAAGGATCAGTTTCGCGTGAGAGTCGTTCGTCGCTTCTCAGTTAGTGGCATTTCACGTCCCCAAGTCCCAGGAGCACTGGAAGTTCAATCCATCATTCTGCGCACGTGGGTACGCCATGGAAAGATATGACGATTAGGCGCAGAGTGTCGACATGCTCGGCAGAAAAACCAGAGTGTGTCAAATAACAATCTATGACATAAGGGGGCAGTCTACTTTTGAAGATCTGCGAATTGGGTGCCGGATGTTGGCTGCGGCGGGCGGATGGAGACCCCTCCGCTCTATCCATGGACAGAGTTCGTGGGGAGAGCGTGAACTAGTCAGGCTCACAGGATAATTGGGAAGCCTTTACCTTGCGGTCAGGGATGAAATTGGCTAGACGCGAGCTACTCGCAAAGCTTAGCTGCCCCACGGAACTCCTGAGGAAGCAAAACCTTGCCCACAACCGCACTCAAGATCAGGCGATTTCTGCCCAGTTTGTGTCTTTGATGGGCTAAATAACTTGCTGGTCGGTCATTGGATTTCGGTGCTTGGGAGGGGAAGAGACAAATAGGCTCCGGTTAACAAGGGCATGCTGGTGTGAAGTATCCCGCCCGGCCTAGCTTTCGAGGGGAAGACGTGCGCAGCTCAAAGTTTAAAAGTCACGGTTTGCATCACGTCTCTTGCGGCGTTTCAAGAACCGCCAAATATACTTTAGAGAAACCCATGTCGAAGTTAGATGGGAGCTAATCGGAGGCAGTTTTCACCATCCAACGAGCGTTTCTCTGTCTTGGCGCCCACGTGCAATTGTCAACGAGCCCTGGCAAGTTCACCGGAAACCCGTCGCTTCCAGCTACCACGCACACAAAGAGTAGTTCCTTGCCTTACCATAGAAGGAGATAATTAGAGTTGAGCTCGTTTTGCGCTTGCTTCTCCGTGCTGAAGTTCTGTAAGGATCTTGACGAGTCAAACGTCTGCCACATGTCGATAGCGTAAGATGTATCGAACATGTGCAGGTCCAGCCCTCGCAGAACTTTTGCAGAACGAGACGTCGACGGCACAAGGCGAAGGACGGCGAAGGAGGTTCGCAGATTGAAAGTTGAGGGGGTTGTCGAACAGAGGGCATGTCGAAGATGGGTCGAAGCCACTTGCAACGGCCTTGCAACTAGTATGCTATAGACGAATCTTGAAGTAAGATGAGCCTGGTAATCTATAGCCATCTGGAACGTGAAATACGTCAGTCATCTCACAGCATCTGAATGACGTCGTGATCAACAGCAATTTTACTTCATTGGTTTTCTGTTTCCCCGCCAAGCTGCGACCTCGTGTGATTTAGAATAACGACAGTGTAAACAATGACGCAACTGAATCTGGTGCTGTTCAGCAACTGGCTCCTTCACAGCGCAGATCTGCAAACGTTGGTAAAATATTATTCCTTCGGCAGAGAAGCAGACCAGAAGGGCTTCGCCAGCTTCCAGTCAGAGTGACTCGACACGAGATGTCGCACTGGTTCAGTTACGTCGGTTCAGGCATAAACCGAAAGGGGTTTCCGCAAGGCACTCAATATAACATCCCAAGTAGACAGAAAAATAGCCTCTTCGACCGGAAAAACTGACATTTCGTTGCTAAGCCCTTGCTAATTGCGGCCCTCTCGCACTTACACATGTGAGGTAGTGGCTTGGCTTTATGCGCCAGTTTATCAACCAACCGTGGCAAGGGTTTTCGGCGTTTGACCCCAAAAGCAAGACATTGCCCTTCGGGCTTTGCTTATTATTGTAAAACCACAACACACTGCTATGCGGTATTCTTCCGTACCTAGTATGTTGGTATTACAAGGGCGCTTTCCCTAACTATATGGGTTTCACTGTCGGAAGCTATAGAGATGTCAGAAACTCTTGAACTGGCCAGTCAAGGCTTTGAAGAAGAACGTTTGCTGGTCAGCGAGGGTTTTTAGTCATTAGGTGCTATGTCTTGCTCATAACTGAACCTTCCATGAGTGTTTACATTACATAGTCTAAGATGATGATCATGGGAAGCGTGATATTAAGCAATTACTATTACTGGTGCAGCATGTCTTCATCCCGGCAACACCTCTTCATGTTAACGGAAGCACTCGCGCTCAAATATGAAGGGTTTCAAGGAGCCACATGACTCAACCACGGGCTGGTCAAGTCTGTGTAAAAGCTTGCTCCCTTCACGGTTGATGGTGCCCCCGCAGCAGTAACATTGCAGTTCGTGATCCAGTTGCCCTCGGAGTCGAGCTTGTTGGACACGTACTTCCTGTAATCTTCCAGTAGACATGAAGATCCGGGTCCGTTCTTGCAAGAAGGCAAAGGATAAACGGCGTCGTTCAAACGGATACGAACATAGGTTGCATTGTGGGATCCGCTAGGAGGAGATGGCGCAGTCGAGTTGGAGCATCTCTTGACTGGGGGAGAGGCGTGAGTAGCGTTTCCATACGTGCCATTGCCAGAAACAGCACAATTAAGTCGCTCAAACGCGATGGTACCTCGCATCGTGGTGTATCTAGAACTGACCCAAGCGCGGTCATCATCTTTCTCAGTGGGAGAAAGCGGAGCTTGGGAGTCCATAACTCCAGAGGCTGTCACAAGCTCATTAAGCTGTCCATCGTTGAGAAAAGAGACAATGAGCTTCGGTAGCGTGAACGTGCTTCCGTCGGTCCGTTTTCCGGTAACGGAAGGGCCTTCGCCAAACAGGGCCATAAGCGCGTTCAAGTACGGCGTCATCATCTTGGATGGGATGTCCGTGCCAGGACCAACTCCATAGTAGTAACGCAGGTCTTGGAAGTACTCATACTGGAGGAAATCCTCGTCCGAGAATATATCACACCAAGGTGACAGGCGGCCGGTGATCTGGCTTTCATATCCGCACAGATAGGGAATTTGCGACACATCGTTCTCGGTGAGCGTGAGATTGCCGGTAATCAAGGCTTGCAGGCGCTCGAGGACGGGGGGGATCCAGACATCGTTCCATTGAGAGACGTAGTCGCCGCCTTCCGTGTCAGCAAACGTCGGACACATATCCGACGGGGCCAAAGAATCGCCGATCCCGCCAGGAAAACCTTTTGAAGTGACTGATACGATATCTCCGAACAAGGTGGCGTTGGTCCCCAAAAAGCCACGGACAAAAAGTTTCGCAGTCTGTAGAACTCGGGAATAGTTGTTGGCCCAGACCATGAACTCTTCGCCCTCGTTGTAGAGATCTGGGTATCTTTCCGGGTCAGCAAACTTTCCTTGCGTGCAAGAATGCGGCATTTACCTTGTTCTCAAAGTGTATCCCAGGTCATGCGCTTCCTTGTAGCCAGTCGGGCTCAAGTTGGCAGTTTGAGACGAAGGATTCGTTAAAGCTGTACGCCAATTGGGTAGAAAGCTTAGGCTACCAGAGGCCCTGTAGTTTCCAGCTTGAAACTACGAAACAGCTTGTTAGTTGTAGCTGGGGGTGCAAAGGATTCAGTTGACTGACTCGCTCCTGCATAGACACCCAGCCGTTGTAAGCGCCGGAATCGGGATAACGTGAGCCATGCCGAGAGACGTAAGCTGCCTGGTCGACGAAGCAATTTTCCGGAATATCCGATGAAATTCCGTTGACATTTGGTCCTGGACCATTAAACGATCAGTGTCTGATGACATGAAAACGCCTGAGAAGGCATCGATCGAGGTAGTTGACGACATACCTGCATACCAAGGGCCATTAGCGCCGAGGTGCTCCAACGGGTGCTCAGCAGTCTCGCTAGCCGGAAGATTAATGTCTTGAACCGGCGCAAGGAAGCGCGAGTTGGCGCTCACCAAGCTAGCGGCGAAGCAAATAAGACGGAGCTTTGAGATGGCCATTTGATCTTGATTACTTCCTGACTGGCGGTACGAAGGGCTGGCTAGAAACGATCATCTTTGCGTCTGGAGTCATGGCAGGGCATTCTTCAATTATACTATGTCTCCCTCATCGTCGGCCCGGTCATTACCGGGCACGTGCTGTTATCGTGTTGTTTACCTTCGATGGACTTGCGCGGACAAGCGTGCCGGTGCGCCCAACGTAACATTGGCATCAAGGTGCACGTGAGAAACATGCACATCTGATTTGACGATTTGAACAAGGTTGTGGATATCCAACGGTGATTCGATCCCAGAAGAGACGTCGTACCCGCGGCTGCATTCGCTAGCGGCGCCGACCCGCCCCCGGAATACCATGTCGAGCCGGGGGACTACGTCAGGCAATATAATTTAACCCGAGGAAAGGGAAGGCGCTGACCGAGTCTGCAAGATGGTTCACTGCACACCCTGAAGTTCGAAACTTCGATTCGCCCGCGAGCACCAGGCCTTCTCGACATGAGAGTCAACACCCGTTCACGCCCCTTTGTTGAGCTATTCCTGGTATGTAGCATTGCCCGGTGCCAAACATTCGAGTCCGCAAATGTGGCGCTGGCGCTCCATAGTCGTACGTCGTTCAACCTAGTTTCCGTAGTGAAGAACAATGACCTCGAATCCTGCCATTGTGCACATGAAGCGGTTGTTCGGTACTTCGTCCAGGCATCAACAATCTCAGGTCCCGGAAGGGGAGACTTGTCGATCTAGGCGGGTGCCACATCTAAGTGAATGGTCTCTGGGTTGGTTCTGATTTATTTGGTCTCCAATCGCCGATTCCGAAAGAGCTTCTCGCGAGAGCCGTGTGCTATCGTCAAACTCGCTCGCACTCGACGGATATTCTTATCAACACAAGAATGGGATTTGTACAAGAGAATGAATGCCGGAGTTGTGACGTAGAATACATAACATGCGGAGGCTACTCCAAATAGGGATGCCTTAAACGCCTTGGTGGCAGAGTGATCATGAGTAGCGGAAGGTCAACCGAAGAAGAGATTTTAGCGGCAGGCGCCGACATTATTCGGTTTACAACCGTTGTGTGAACGAAATGCTGCCCAGCCACAAAACAGTCTGTGGAGGTAAAGGCCGATGCGAATATGAAGTAGAGGCCATAAATTTGATGGTAGCATAATCAAATCATTTGAGATTTCAATTCGCGCCACACTGTGGGCGCTGTGCCCCTATGGCGGTTCAAACTGAGGTTTCGATTTGAGTCGGAAGTTGAATAGGAGATCTAAGAGGCAACATACAGAACCTGGGAATTGGATTGAACTGACCGCGGATGGTTATTTATTCGCTGAATTACACCTGACTTCCAACAGAGAGTGAATAGGGAATACAGTGTCTTAGACCAAGAAGCCTGCTGAGAGGTGTTCTGAACGTTTAGACTTGGGGCCGTCTATTGAATTTTATAGATCAAAATTGATCAGTCGTTCAGTGTTATATAAGGAGTGAATATCTCAAGCTGGGTGTTATTAAAATTTTAATTTCATCTGTTCTAGCCTCAGTATTATAGGTAGTTAGGGCGTCTGCAGGTAATACCTTAGATAGAATTAGCAACCAAGGCAGACTTCAGAAGCACTTGTGTGTTTATTTGTTACTGTAGTGTGATTGAAAGAGGCGCTTAGATAAACGAGAATATTCTTTTTTGCGCCATACACCACATTATGTGGTCTAATAGCATGCACTTATACATGCTGAGGTCGTTCAAAGCACACATTGCAAGAACGAATGTTTCTTCTTCACATAAAATTACAGCTTGTGACAGCATGATACCGTCGCTTTTGAGCGATCCCTATACGAAACACATCTGATGCGCAGAAATTGCTCCAGGACCATCAGAGAGGAAGACTATTAAATCACCGCCAAGACCCGTTAAGGCCTCAATCTTGCTTCCAGACGGGCTGTTTCCGCGTTACATGTAGGTCTGTACGAATTTCGGCGAATAAAGTTAGCCTGAAATATGTCACGTAAGGTGTCAGGCGAGGAGCTGTTTCACAGAGGCAAGGTTTGCGAGGAGCAATAGTAAAAGACTATATGAGATAGAACTAAGAATACCTTAGGAGTAAAGCTAGCCCGCGGTCTAAAGAACTTGTATTTGGATAGCTGTATCCATAAAGAGTTTGCTGAAGGATGTCTATTCTAACTCAAACACTTTTGATGTCGTGCATGATAAGCTTTGGCCATGTGCTCGTGTCCAAGATTTTGCCCGGCTCCGTTGTCTCGGGTTGTCAAACTTACCCGAGAACCGATCGGAATCTAAAACTCAACCGAGCCGACTTCTCACTGAGAAAGGTTCGGCCTTAAGTGGCAATAAGGAGCCGTTCAGATCACGAAATTTGCAAAAATACTGGTTACAGATTCCAATATATAAGCGCCAACTCGCCTGCATGTCGTAACTCCGCGTACGACCGGTGTCAAGTGTGGTTCTAGCGCAATAATTTGCCAGATCCATTAACATCCACCTCGAAGCAGTTGACGGGCACCTTTGAAATTGAAGCATTCGTTAGATATCTGGATGACGAACGATATGAAAGGTTTATTGGTTATCAACGCAATTTGCTACCATCCTGTTGGAGTTGTCATGTCAAGGCCTTCGAACGAAGACAGTTGGCGGTTGATGATCTCTTGATCTGGCATCGTCAAAGGGTCCCAAGACGACGCCCCCGCACCAAGATATCGTTGAAAAAGATGTTCCATCGGAGGATGATCTCCTTGATGATGGTCTGTGGCAGTATGTCTTCCCTCGGGATGAGACGGAGGTTCCGTACCAGCCCGTGACCTACTCCAGTGAGGCACCATGATCTCGCGGATTCTTGTGACATAGGCGGGTTCGTCTGGCTGAATGCCATGTTCGGCACAGAGACAATCCTCTCTCACCTTCCACGCCTTCAACACGAATTTGGCGAGTGCTATGTTGTACTCCTGCGAGGGATCAAGGAACTCCGGGTGATACTCATAAACCGCCGGGATCTGTTGCCAGGCGCGCTCAACCAGATTTCCTGAAGTTCGCTGACTCAATTGACCGACCATGAAGATTACCACATCAAACTGGAAAAGAAGCTTCAGGAACCAATGGAAACCTTGGTGCTTATTCGATTTGTAGGCATTGACGTTCTGCTCAGTAGTCATGACTGACCACTTGAAGAGATTGTCCTTTGGCGTCAAGATCTCACTTCCCCATTCTGGCTGTTCCTGAGGAGGGCGTGTAGTTTCTTTGACCTTCTGGAGAATAAGAGCTTTCAAAAGCGAGGCGAATTCGTGTACTGGGCCTGCAGATGGGTCAGAGTTCTTCTCCAAAACTCCATTCAACCGGTCTTGGAGTTGTTTGATGAACGAGCTGATCTGCGCTGATTGAACTTTGCTCTTTCGTCCCGAGCTGAGGGTACTTAGTTCGTTGTACAGCATCAGAGCCTCGATATCAGGCTGCTGCTGGATGCAATGCCCGATCTGGAAGACCAACAGCGGTATCACCATCTCCGTGGGACCCTCACGCTCCTGATACTTGTCTGTAGCGCCCGGATGCAAGTCTGCATCGTTGAGGTTTTTCGGCAGCTTGCAGTCGCTCGGACGAGGGAGCAGTGACTGGCTCAAACCGGAAATCATGGAAAACTTGCAGTCGAGCATGAATATTTGCCACCAGATGCGGCGTCTCATCTCTGTCTCGAATGGGGGCAGGCCGAGAAGCTCTCCGTCTCGATGGAGACCCATTTTCTGCGCAATTCGCACGCATATGCCGTTCAAGATCCAAGCTCCGTGTATGTTACAGCGGCCTTGGATCGACATCTTGCCGAAGTCAGTAAACATCTAGCTTGGGACTGAAGAGCGGCTTACCATGTGAAGCACGAGCGCCTGAAGAGTGGTTATGTCGTGCGACTTGAGAAAGTCGGCGCGCAGCAAGCTTTGTCTGGCCCCGGTCGAAAATCTCCGGAAAGCAGCATTGCATGAGGAGCCAAGCATCGTCATGCACTCGCCTTCAGTTAAGGTGACAATTGACATGCTGAAAACTGCAAACATCAGGGCTTCCACATTGTTCGGAAGATGTCCAGGACCACTCGCGGCTTCCACAACAAATGGCTGCAAAGATGGGGCATGTACGATTTTTGTTAGGGAATTCACCCTTTCCAAGAAGGTCTGCCAGAGCCGAAAAATTTGACTTGCGGTGGGATACAAATCATCGGGGTGCTGATCAACAGGAGAATCGCCGCCTACAAGCAAGTAATCGCTGTAATCGGGCATGGAAGCTCCGGGATCCCATTCATGCTGTGGCTCAGGCTCTTGCCCCTCATCCTCCTTTTCGACGAGCTCTTTCATCCCACGCAACTGCAGGTCATCAGTCAGCCAGTGTAGTAAGCAGATGACAGTGGAAAAACTTGCCTCTTCGTACACCGTTGCCCAGAGGAAGTTGTCAGTGAATCGAACAGAGCCATCCTCAACAATCACCTTGCCAGCGGGTTTCCAGTTGATCTGATTGTTTTCATAAAAAGGAATACTGGATGCTTGAGGCGGTGCTATGGTGCTCTCGTGGTCCAAGGGTTCTTTACTTGCAGCAGCATATTTGGCCAAGAGTTCTTCGCATCGCGCGAGTCTCGCCTGGAGCTCTGCATTTGGACGTCTCCTTTTTCGCACTGGGGCTGGAATGCTAGGGCTGCACGTAGCTTTGGACTGGTGCCGTGACTGGTAAGCTTCATCGTGAGGGGAAGATGTTGGGCACGGTATGAAAAGACCAGCGGCGACACGGCCGAATCATTGCGCGTCAAGGTGGGCAAAAGACAGCGCTCCGCCGTTGACGGCGAACCACAAGATGTTGAAACTTGAAGCTCGAGGGTGAGAGTGACATACCTTGATGCAGTTCGAGCATGGATATTTCCGGTCGCATTTGACCTTGCGGCGTTGACATAGAACACACGCCAGGGGCCGCGATGACTTGGACGAGGACTTTTCCGATGGAGATGCCGACATGGCGCGCAGGACGTCAACGATGATAGCGACGCGTAGAAAGGAGTACACCGACCAAAATCTGGAGTAATCCGGCTTGCCAACAGCGGGGACGGGTATATACAGCAGGCCGGTCGGGAGTCGGTCACAGATCGTCCGATAGGCGATATTTCCCAAGGCAGGAATCTCTCCTTGCTGTTCCTGCTCTCGCACATGTAGGTGTGCGTATCATTAGATGCTGCAACTTTGGGCGTTGCTGTCGTGTGCACGCAGTGCAGTAGTAAACATGGGCTGCCTACAAGCCTCTATCTTTGAAAAGGGGGCTGGGAACCTTAAGGTCCAATCTGTGCCCTAGCTCGGCGGCACGCTCGGCTTCGAATGCCTGTCTCAGTACAGGCGCGCGTACGACACAGTGACGCTATGGCGCAATTCCCAATTAGATCAAACGCCTGGTCTCTGGCAGCGATAGACCAGAACCGAACCCAGCGCTTTGTAGCGGTTTGCTGCGTAGAGGACCAAATGGCGCATGGGATTGCACCAGGTCCGTGGCCACAGGGCGGTCGGCTGTACAAGGTCTGCTTGCCTTCGAAGGCCAGTAGTCCACACGGCTAGGCGAAACATGCCTAAGAGATGAACTACTAGGCAAGCAAGGAAACTTTGCCTTACTTAATTGCCCTGTAATGGATTCCGCCGGCGGTCTGAGAACAGCGAGAAATCACCGTAATTGATGCGTACGACTCACCTACGGATGGGCAAGACCCAGCCAACTTGAAACCCGTGTGAACTTTCCTCCTAAGCTTGTCTTTCTTTATAGACACTGGTTGCAACTGCCCAGTGCCATCACTATGCATGCTGTCGAGTCAATCGTGCTCTGATATGCATGGCACGGCTTGCGGTTCCGTCGCCTTGCCCTGACTTGTCGTCTGTGATCGGCAAAAACCCACTTCGGCGGACAAAAAGCTCTCTCGCAGTCTCGCTTAAACTCTGTTCAAATCTACAGAGTCAGTGCCATGCTTGCGACATGAGCAAAACCAATCACGCTGGATGTTCTTTTTCCGTATTGCTCGTACCAAATGTACTTAAAATACAGCAGACCTTGCAGCCCAGGCCTCTTTAAGCCACAGGCTCTGAGCCAAGATTTGCTAAAGTCAGGAGTTCGCCAATACATACATCACTTAAGAGCCCCCATCCACGGTCATCTGATGCTTAAATCTTGCTAATTTCGGCCGTACACAAAGCAGGCTGTAATAATAGCTTATTTTGACTTTTCAGGTTGGAAGGTCTGAACTATGAGTCTATATGTAGGGACCAAGATCGATGTGGCCGTCCCCATCGAGAAGCTGGAACAAATTAAGGTCTCCAAATCCATGATCTCCGTCATTCCTCCCGTCAAGGATTGACAAATCTGGTGTCCTCGGGAGCGAATTTGACAGACTCAAAAACGAGGTATCCATGTCTGCGAAAGACGGCGAACCTAGGCCCAAAAGGCCAGAGACGGAATTGGTCTTGACTGCCGATTGGCGGTCTTGCCCCAGTCCCGGAACAGCATCATGAACAGAAGAATGGGCGATTTGCTCAGAGTCCACGTTGTCCCACGGTACTAGCCCAAACAGCTGTGACGAGCTTTCCGTCCTCTGAAGACGCTCCTCTAGCTCCTTCTTTTCGAGGTAATCTAGTGCAGCGTTGAGAAGCGACTTTGCAATAAGAGAGTACTGCGAAGCATGGGCATCCTTCTTTGCGAAATGCTCTAGCACCATGATTGCGTTCCGCGTGTACTTTTCGAGGATGCGGCCGAAGGACCCCAGTAGACCGACACCCAGGATAAGGGAGGACGCAAAAAGCCACGACCTATTTCAACTTTAGCGTCGTGCAACAATATATCCAAGCCGCATTACTCACACGATAAGTGGCATTTGTCCATTCAAGTATTGCCTCTCAGTCAAGCCAACCAGTATGTCGACCATGAAGCTTGCGGCATCTATGCAAGCATCGGCGAGCTTCGATTTGCCAGAGACCAGACCAGATCGACTGGCCGAGCCACCAGCGGATCCTTCCGTCAAGCGTTTGTGAAGCTCATACATAAGAAATGGTCGCGAGACTAGAATCACAGCTGAGAAGTGTAAGTTAAGCTGTGAACTGACTCAGCCGTCGACGGGCGACGAGCTTACCGTAATAGTATGAGCATAATACTTGGCTAGCACCGGTGACCTTGCTTGGTTCCTCCCCGTCCGCCGATTTGGACACAACGTCTTTCAAACGTTGGAGCCACCGGACAGACCAATCCCGCAGCTGTCTTGAGATACCCTCTGTCAACTGGTAGGAGACCTTTTTCCGCGAATACACTTCGACGACAATACCTTCAGTGATGAGAAATATTTGAGCTGAGGCATTAAGAAGGTCGAATGCTTCTTGTCCAGTTGTATCGTCCGCTCCGCGGTATGGAACGCTACAGTCAACATCAGACGTTGCTGGGGGCCTGCCCATGGATGTACTCAGAAAGAGGTCCAGTACACGCAAGCTCTTCCAAAGACGATCTCTGTGGTCATGTCTTGTCAGCGCAACAAGTCGTTAAGGAGACAGGTCCCATCAAGTTGCCTTACCGCTGTCTTTGAATGTCGGGCCCAAAGCGAGAGTTGATTTCTGTACGGTGAATTCCGATAGAATATGCCGCCCTTACCGCGATTCCTTTTCAAAAAGTATCAGTCTAGACTTCTTGGTTAAGGTTTATGCCTGGGGTTATCTAACCAAAGAACAAGAATGCCCCATTCATCTGGCAAGAGCCTAACATGTATAGAGTAACTAGAATAAAGGTCTGGATAGTTGGGACGTTGATGTTGCCGCTGAGATTGGTAAGTGCAGTGTTGCGCGCATACTCGAAGTAAGAAGATGCCAGATCTTCCTCTGCAGACTCATATCCTATCGCAAGGACTAGGTAGAAAGCTGCGGAAGCAACGTCTTGCGATCTATGGTCTTGTTGGGCCCAGGCACACACTTCGTTCACGAGACGAGTGTCATCGAACAGGTCAACCAAACCACTGGTCTGCATTGGAGTGAAAGCATCGGTCAACTGGAAATCAAGCTAGTGGAGTTCAAATAGTCTTACAACGGCACGGTACGTGGTAATGGCTTGAGGAATGGTAGCCGGGCGAAGAACAGGCTCGCCATTGCCGGAATAATGCGCAGGTGGTCGAAAAGAGGGATTTTCGGTTTGATGAGCGAAGACCTGAGGGTCTACTCGAGTGTGGACAAGTTGCCGTACTGTTTGGAAGAAAGATAATGGCGCACAATCTCCAATAAAGACTGGCGAGGTCTCATTAACTCGTGAAGACGTCAAATTAGGGGAGACGAGACATACTTAGCTTGCCTTGAGCATCACACAGCAGGCGCGCTTCACGAGGAACCTCTGTCTCCTCCTCCGCCAAAGAATCGTGGCCAGCCTCCGTCGCAACATGGGCCTGATCGGCGCCGTTGTGCACAGACGGTGACGGTGTTCTTGGAGTTGGCGCGGGAGCTCGTCGTCTCTGCTGTGGTGAGTATCGACAAGTTGCTGGACGCTGGCGTCTCAAACAGTAGCTACATGGCAACTTTCCATCGCATTTGACTATTCTCGTGGTTAGATACATGCCCTGATTTATCGGAGATAACGTCTCAAGCAGAGTGCGTCCTAGCAACATAGCCGTTGAATCCATTTGCAATTGCCATCTGCATCTGTGTGCTGCTCGCCGTAGGACTTGAGCAGCATCAGAAAAGCACAATGTTAGGGGCAGGTACCTTTTCTTGCTTTGCAGCTATCGCAAGCATTCGCGACCCTTGTGCGAACATAAGTGTGCGGTGATGCCTCCCGCACCGAGACATCGTCCATTCTGGTGCAACCGCCGATGTCCCTTGAAGTAAAGTCGAATCGCGGAAGAAGGAAGATCGGACGCGGACCAAGAAAGCCAATTACCGAGGGGTCAAGGTTTTCCGCACTGCAACTGTTGCGACGCTAAACCTTGTCGGGCTTCCAGGATGGTGTACGTGAGCAACTCATGACGCCAGTGCTCACAGTAGTTCCGAGAAAGGACACGTTCTCGGATGCACTGTGCTTGCCATGTCGAAACGCGAACCCCCCCGGTTTGATCCTCGGATCCTCCGCTTCCTTAGCCGCCCACACACGACTCGGCTTACGCGGATGCTCTTGTAATACTTCCAGCAACCCGGCCGTTCACAGCCGCATGCTGTGTGGCTCTCGTGACCCGTAGACCTCAAACGTCGACGCATTCTGTTACGTGAGCACATCCGAAACCGCCCGGAGGCGGAAGACGGCCTACCATGGCTGGACATGTGTGAGTGCGTCTGGTGCTCTTCTCATGCCTTACCTTGGGACCTTCAAAAACATGGCCTTTTCGAAGAAATCGACTGAGTTCGTGCTTTTAGGACCATGATGGACGACGTCCTCATTTCAAATTGTATGCCGGACAGTGGAATATAGCTTCGCCTGTACTGACAGCAGTCACAAGTAACAACGGCCTTGCTTCGATCGTCCCTGCGATTAGTAATTTCCCAAGGCCCTTCAACACAGAATATCTTCGTGAAGCATGTGCAGACCAGATTAGTTGAATCTCCTGTGTCATTTCCACGAATGCATGCACTTTTGGGGGATGACGGCGGGCTTTCTCGGTCATTTCTTGATTATTTGAATTGGAACAGATGCCTCTTCTCTGCCAAACTACCCAAGCAGTCGCTGCCAAAGTAAGTTCCATCTGCTGTGTATGTTATTGAGGTTTTGCTTACTTGCCAAAAGTCTCGCAAAAATCATCCAAGCAATGACTGTCGTGAAAAACGAAAATCCGAACCCAGCAGAGGCTCTAGAATCCTCGCTACAGATGATTGATGGCGACATCGTCCAGGCCATACAGGCTTTGAAGGAGATTCAACCAAGTCCCGAGCCAGACCTTGAGCACCAACTCCGCCATCTGATTCTTACATTGGAGAATTACAAGCGGGTGCATGATAGTAAGGACTCTGAGTGTGCAGAATACCCCTTTAATCGCAGTGAGCGGCAGGTGAGAGACGCCTTTGTGGCGCTGTTCCCAGAATGCATGTCGGCCACAGCTCCTAGGTCACGCGCCAAGACGCTCATGTCATTGAAAATTGCAACTAAACCTGATTTTGAGACCTTTTATCTTGGGCCGTATGAGTTTCCGAGAGTATTGAATGGTCTGTGGCAGCTTTCATCCGCAGCGTGGGGAAGCGGAAGTACCAGCAGGCAAGAAGAAGAGCTGGTCCATCTTGTGCAGGCGGGCTTCACGGCAGCTGACATGGCTGATCACTATGTTCGTGTTATTCCGAGTCTCCCTATTTCCTCAACTGACTGGATGTCTCTAGGGCGATGCTGAGCTAGTCTACGGCGCCTTCAGGAACCGATTGTCGCCAAGTGTTAGGTCACAAGTTCTGGCTGCAACAAAATGGTGCGTATTTGCACCTCCCACGGAGGCTGTCACAGCGAAATTTGTCCTCGATGCTGTAAAAGAGAGGTATCGACGACTTGGAGGCAGGATTGAATTGCTTCAGCTTCACTGGCACGACGTAAGTTCGGACCCGAGTTGCGCTGTGGCTATTTACATGTAGCTCATACCATCGCTGCGTTAGTATTCTTCAAAAGAGTATCTCAGCATACTGGTTGAACTAGTCCGTCTGACAGCAGTCCATCCGAACCTGGTATCAACGATCGGGCTCTGCAATTTCGATGCGGAGCACACTGTTGAAGCCTGCGAGTATCTGATAGCAAAAACAGGCTCTGTCGGAGTTGTGTCAAATCAAGTTCAGGTTTGTCATTTCGTCTTGATCCCATGTGTTGCCTTTGACTTCTTCGAGATCATGCCAACGCCCCAAAACCTCTAGTTTTCGGTGCTCGATTCCAGACCACTTCACCTGATGGCCGGTGTTTGCCAAAGATACGGTTTGAATCTCCTGACATATGGTTCTCTGGTAAGTGCCTGATAGTTTCTGGACACCCCTCATGTCAGTGCAAGATGACGAATCTCAGAAGTGTGGCGGACTTTTATCGTCTCAGTGGCTTGGGAAACCTGCCCCTGATATCTATGCAGAATCAGCGAGCCTGACGCCGTCGCAAAGAAAGGTAAGCAGAGGAGAACGGAGAATTGCATTTGAAACCTAGGATTTAGCTGATCCGCCCTCTGAAGTATCACGACATGATCATGCACTGGGGAACCTGGCGAGACTTCCAGGACTTGCTAGAGATCCTTTCGACCGTGGCCCAGGAGCACGGGGTGAGTCTTTCAAATGTAGCAGCTCGCTGGGTTCTCCAGCAGCCGGCTGTCGGAGCGATCATTGTAGGGACACGGCTTGGGGTTTCTAGCCATGTCGAGGAAAACCTCGCGACGTTCGAATTCACTTTGAGCGACTGGGATCTCGATAGAATCAACATCATGGCCGTTGGATCCAATCGGGTGAGAACCAGACGGCTATTCACAGACATTGGGGACTGTGGAACTGAATATCGAAATGGTCATTAGTTTCTACGTTCGTACATGGTTGGCTTGTCAGAATCCACGCGACGGATTATGAATTAGTAATGAGTGAGAAGACTCATGTTTATTAACGAGACTTGAGCCTTCACTAAGCATGTCAGCCGTGCCTTTAATTCAACAAATGAGACGTGGCACTCAACTATAGATTAGCTCATTGAAACTAGGCATTAAACAAGTTGATTGGTCATGATGGATGATCGATGTCACATGGCCGATGACATGCTAGTGATCGATTCGCCCTTCCTGAACAACCCGATGCTCCTCGGATCATGTGGGCTCGCATGGTCCTAGAGCACAGACACTTCCGACATCCGAGCCCTCTTCCGCCCACACAACCCAGAACGCCTCTCGGATGCAACTTTCCCCATTAGTGGACCAGTTAGCTCCTGAATGGAGCATCCAGGTTACACGCGGAACAGAATTCTTCATCCCCTTGCATTAGTTTGGTATTTGTCTAAACCGCCATGCTGATGTCGTCAATCGCTCTATGGATATCACAAACTTGTCTCAAAGCAAAAATCACTTCTTCCGTCCTTGATCCAGCTGCCCTGCCCGCAAGGTCTCGTCCCTCGTTTGCTTCAAAAACGGCATCAATGCTGTGCCGCCCGTCCCCGTAAGTTGGTCATCCTTGCTAGCAGAAGCACTGGCCAAGTCGACCTTGGCGGCAGTGTAAGCCTTCTTGGATGGCAGAACAATGTACCGTGTGACGATCTGCAAATGCTTGTTTCTGAACTCCGTCATGGTCTTTGTCGCGTTCTGGTATGCGTCGCGAAATCTCTCCTGCTGCGGCGTGGACGCAGGGAGCTTGGCGAACTCGCGGATGCTACCCATGCGAGTGACATACTCCAAGAACCGTTTGTGAGGTCCCGGCATATAGTCACGAACTTCCTCGTGGAATGCGGGTGTACCCTTCTGAGCGGGTGCGGTCTTACTCGCGTGAGGGTTGCTGTTGCCTTCCGACTTGTGTTCCACACCCATGACAATATCGAGAAACTGGATGAGAGAGCTTTGGCCGTTACTGCCACCTCTGAGTTGTTGCCAGCTACCACGACCGTCTCCTTCGTCATAGAACACGCCATTCGGTAGCCCAGCTGCTGCCATGTTCTTGCTGCCGGCAAGGTATGGACGGATTTCATAGAAGAAAACCATCGGATCGCAGTGTTCGTACATGCGCTCCAACAGAGCACCGATCTTTCGGATATTTTCAGACAAGCCCTCGAGAGCCTTAGTGATTGTGGCGTAGTCTCTTGTCTTGATTGATTCCAGAGCGTTCAACATATCTGTCATAATGCGAGCGCCTTGTGCCTCCATAGCTACCGAGACTAGGTAGAACCAAGCCTCGTCCTTAGTACCGGTAAAAGTGTGAAGGGATTCCAATGATTCGAGATCGGTGAAATCGTCCGTAGTCGACAAGAAGTTCCACAGATTGAGGCCAGCGTAGGTGGCAACCGGGGGAACTTCCAAATGCCTGGAAACCGCCAAGAGGGGGATCGAGACTGAGGGGGGCAGAATCTAGGCATGAATTAGAAAGGTCCTGTTTTGGATGCTACGGCTTCCTTACCTCCTCGGCCTTTTCTCCACCCCAAACATAGGCATGCGTGAAGAAGGTCAAGATCACGTATGCTCTCCTCCATTCGGCCTCGTCCATGAGTTTGTCTGTGCTCAAGACTGGGAGAGCATCGACCTCCCGTCGCAACTTCCCAGCCTTAAGCAGTTCCGGGAGATGTTGGATGATTTTTTCCCAAGGCGCATAGTATGAACTCGGAAGCGCTTTGAGCGGCGCGTCTGCGGGGAGGAAACCATTCTGAGTGATGGCATATCTCTCGAATGAAAACACGTCTTCCGGCGATTGTTCTGCAGACACTGGGAGGGCGTGGGGCGACATTGCAACTAGCGAAGACTGTGAAACAGACAATACAAGAAGAGACGAAAGTTAAATTGAAAGCTTCGAGAATGGCTGACTAGAGTGTGAGTAAGTTGGTTGTGATGGAGGGAAGAGAGACAAGGTCAATGCGAGTCAGGGAACAACCAGATGAAGAAGTATTTCCTCAACCTCTTCCACAAACCTGAACCCATCGCCTATCACCTGTCCATTTGTCGCGGACCCGACTGAGGGATCTCGTCATCCTATCCGGTGTAAGTGGGCCAAACCGAGACCCGTCGGCTACATGCGGAAGTGTTGAATCGGAGACGGAAACGGATCGCGGAAGAGGGTGGGGCCGTGCGTCAACTTTGCGGAATGACGATGCACGCTACCTTGGGGGTCTTGGGGCGGCGTCGGGTACAAAGACGAGGAAAACGCCCAGGCTACCGTGCAGCTTGTGCCACAATTGCGAATTCTCGATTCATCAAGCAGTCACAAGCATAATCTCTCGTACGATTCACCATGGAGTTTGCCGCCTTTGCAGAACAGATCCGGTCCGGCCATCCGGCCAAGTTCCCCACGAATGCCAACACTGCCGAGTATGCTCAGCAACTCGATGCGCAAGACAAGCTCAGGCATCTTCGCGATGAGTTCATCATCCCAACCAAAGGCTCTTTGAGGAAGAAGGAGTTGAACGGCACATTCCCTAGTGAGTTGTCATGAGTTTTGTGGGAGACAGGGCTCTAACGACCTCGACAGACAAGCAGGCCGTGAACGGCCACGTAAACGGCGCCAATAGTGTTTCCTCGTCGGCTGATGACGATACTCCATCTGTCTACTTTTGCGGAAACTCTCTCGGAGTCCCACCCAAGGCAGTCAAGGAATATGTCAATGCTCAGTTAGAGACATGGGCTTCGATAGGCGTCAACGGCCATTTCAATGGACTTGGCAATTCACCTCTGGTCTGCTGGCAGGACATGGCCGAGGATGTTGCGAAGAAGAGCGCACCTATCGTGGGCGGTCTTCCTGAAGAGGTTGTCATGATGAACACCTTGACGGCGAACCTGCACTTTCTGCTGGCAAGCTTTTACCGCCCGACAGAGAAGAAGCACAAGATAATCCTGGAATGGAGACCTTTCCCCAGCGACCATGTAAGAAACGTCCCTTTCCTAAAACCCAGCTGTCAGGCGAATACTCACATAAAAGCAGTATGTTATTGAGTCTCAAATCCAGTGGCATGGTTTGGACCCGGCCAAGTCGATGGTGCAGATCCAACCCGACGAGAATTTCTACATCTCAACGGAGTTGATACTGAAGACCATTGATGAGCATGCCGAAGAGACAGCCCTGCTTCTACTTCCTGGAATCCAATACTACAGTGGCCAACTTTTCGATATTCCCCGCATTACCGAATACGCCCAGTCAAAGGGACTCGTGGTCGGTTGGGACTTGGCACATGCCGCGGGCAACGTCGAGCTGAAGCTCCACGACTGGAACGTCGACTTTGCAGCATGGTGTACCTACAAGTACCAGAATGCGGGTCCTGGTGCCATGGCTGGTGCATTCGTCCATGAGAGACATGGGAAGGTTGACACAAGTGAAGGCAAGCCCAAGTTCCGCCACAGACTGACGGGATGGTACGGAGGTGATAAGTCGGTGCGGTTCAACATGGACAACAACTTTTTGCCCACAGTAGGCGCCGGTGGCTTCCAGGTGTCGAACCCTTCGGCTCTCGACCTTGCCGCGCTCTCTGGCGCCTTGTCTGTGTTCGAGAAGACGTCCATGTCTGACCTGAGGACAAAGTCTCTTGTTCTTACGGCATATGCAGAGCACCTACTTGATGGCATTCTCGCGGATGACACCGGAAGTGAGCCTTCATTCCGAGTCATTACGCCACGCAATGCGCATGAGAGAGGTGCGCAGCTTAGCGTACTGCTCAAGGACGGGCTGTTGGATCGTGTAGTCGATGAATTTGCGACCGCGGGCGTAGTGTGTGATAAGAGAAAGCCAGGCGTAATTCGTGTGGCTCCAGTGCCTCTCTACTGCACATTCCACGATGTGTGGAGATTCATGGACACACTGAGAAAAGCTATTGCCTAATATAGTCTAATGTAATACAAAGAGTAAGTCAGTCAAACACCAACTATGTTCACTTCACCGGGGCTTTCGTCGTGCATATTTTGAAGTCCCGAGCGCCTTACCAGCATGACCCCTTGGGATACAAGATATACAAGATAGCCAGAGTAGCTTCCTAGTTGCGAGAAAGCATCCTGTCCAGCCGTCCGTGCATGCGAAGCATTTGGGGCTCTCATCGTTGCAGCGCATATGTTTGTATTCGACCGCACGGTTCCTGTTGGTATTTAAGTGATTGCGAGCTCTCGGGTTGTAGGAGTTCATCCTCAGTCTATGTTCCAAATCCATTGAGTAACTTCAACTTAATTTGACCCATTGGAATGCCAAAGAGCTCAGTACAGCTTAAGAAATTGACGACTTGGTGTGTAGGATGGTGAAAGATGATATAAAGCACCAGCTAAACATGCATCATGTTGCTAGCAATACCTGAGTGTGATCAATCTCAAGAAAATGAGAATGATGGTGGTCCGGCCCGGCATGGGGTCTTCATAGAGACATTTTGGGGAAGACATAGATATCCATGAATGACATCGCCGTCTGCTGACGTAGGACACAGCACAGTCTACGCTGGAGCTCGGCTACGCTGGAGCTCGGCTACTATAGACGACTATGCCAAGCACAGCAATCTTTTGCTCGAAAGTGGATCTTTCGAGTCAATGTGATAGCTGGCACCTGTCTGAATGCAGAATCGATTTGCGTAATGGCATATTATCAACTTGTCGAAAGAGCCAAGATGGATGGACGAAGACGGCAATAAGAGTCGCAAAGCATGTTCAAGTCGCTCTGCCGAGTTATCAACAAAGAGGGTTTGGCTTTGCGGCTCTGGGAGTCCAAAGCCAGTTACGTGATGATATCGCCATCAATCACTTGACGGATCCGACGGCTTTCTTGTTGGCAAACTAGCAGCATCTCGTTAGCACCAATGACGGCAGAGGCAAATTACTGTTAGCGTTGACTTGCATCGGGAGCCAAACCCTCGCGGGCCGAAGGATCGAGGCGGTGGGCTGGAAAACGAAAACGGCAGGCTGAGACCCCAACGACAAACGAACAACGAGGGGAGAAGACCCCGACCTGGAATCTCTCATCGGCCTAGACAGATCCAGACTCAATTCAACGCTAAGTCCTGTCTATGGGTCGGATACTCCACACCTCGACTTTGCTTTACGGATGGCTGAATGCGGGTTTCAATCCCTTGGCTGTAATCTGAAAACGGTGAAGACCCCAATCGGGCCGCCTCTTGCGTAGGAAAAAAGGCCCCTCCAGCCCAGAAACAGCAACCGAGTAGTCGGTAAACTCAGGGTCAGAAATCCCAACGCTGAAGTGACTCAGTGACAAGTGAGACACGGCGAGACATTGCGGCGAAGGCTTCAATGGTAAAGGTGACGATGGTAGCGACTTGGAGACAACATACAACAAGCGGAAAATAATAAATAGCGACCAAATGCTTCCCTTCAGAAAAATCCTTTATCGCACCACAATCCAATCAACTCAGCACCAACAAATCATCACATCCAAGCTTTTGCACTATCTTACTCTAATACTTTTGACTCCGATCTTCCTTAGCCCAGAAACACTCGAAATAACCGCCGAATACTTCAAAATGCGTTTCACCAACGTCCTCGCCATCTTTGCATCTGCCACTGCAACCTCAGCACTCCCGCTTTCTATCCTTAATGGTCTCTTCGGCACTGCCCCAACGGCCAACTCATTGGTGCAGAGTTTGGGAGCTGTAAACAACGAGCTTGTTAAGTTGAACGTCAGCCTTACCGGGCTCAACTCAGCAAACTTGCAATCTCAGGCCACTGGTAGTGGAAGCAATGTCAACGATTTACTCAACAGAGTCCTTGGACCTGTTCTGCAATCGCTCACTGGGAACGGTGGTCTTCAGACTGCATACACCACTGCTTTGAGCCAGCTTGCCACTCTGAACAGCCAAGGCGTCACTCTTCCGCAAGCCCAAGCTGCTCAGGTTGCCAGCGCTCTCACCACCTACCAGGCTCTGTTACCCCAGGTGTTGGGGCAATTGCAGGCCGCCCAACCTGCGATTACTACGGCATCGGGAAGTGGTCTTCTTGGGTTGGTACAGAACCTTCTTGGCGGGAGCTTGGTCGGCAGCACCGGCGGCGCCGCTACTCCGGTCAGCACTGTTCAAAACTGGCTCTCAACTACCCTTAACAACAACGGCAACCTCCTCGGCGCAGTCAGCACTATTCTCCAGCGAGTGCAGCCTACAATCCAGTCCACTCTTCAACAGGTTACCGACCTTCTTCAGGGACTCATCCGGGCCCAAGTCACCGTTTACGGCGCCTAATCGAACAATCAGCAAAACAAAACTTCTGAACGCGATATAATGAGACCGGATTCTCTCGGAAACGACTCAAGGAATTAATGTGGATGGAAAATTAATATGGGAATTAGGCTGAGACATAATAGGCTGGTGTTGGGAATAACGCATCGACGAGAAGCCACTAACGACAATCTTTCATAACGACAATCTCTTATCATAATCTTAATAATGAAACTGACCTTCTTTTTTATGTAATGCTACCACTCCTTGCCCGTTGAACCTTTGCTGTGCCCCCCATTGGATCGGAGCGCCTCAATCTCGATCTTGCTTGGTCGAAATGCCAAGGTACGTCACTGAGACCTGCACGGCCATTTGCGGCCAAGCGAACTGCGCGGTTGACGCACTTTCAAGCCCAGGCCGTTGGGGGCTGGGTCAGCAGAGCGTTTTCCGCCTATCGCTGGCCGTTGCGCTGTGGTATATGATGCCTGGCTGGGGCTAGCGCACAGAACAGGCTGGTCAGACGACAACGCGCAACGCCAGCGCATGACGTCACGAGCAGCTCAGCGGCCGCCTGGTATTAAATGCGTTGTTCTGCAACACTCAACTCGACGCACGCTGCACACCACATCTCTCGCCTTTACCCCGCCTTCACAGCCAATACTCGACCCCAGAAACGACAGAAAATCCCAATAACTCAGATCAAGGTCAACCGACACGATGTTTCAGACCGTCTTCTCCCCGAGCCTCTTCCTCCAGCTCTGTTTCGCCTTGCTGGTAGCAGCCGCCCCTCTTGACCATACCCTGTCCACGACTTCGCAGAACAGCTGGCAGTATGGAACGGGTGGTGGTGTGATTGGATTCGTTGTGCTTGTCCTGGATATCATTGTCTTCAGTAAGTTGTTCCACCTGCGTCAGGTCGATCACTATACTCACAACTCCCTTCCCAGTCGAGGTTCTGAAGTCCAACCGTCCCGTGAGCCACAAGGTCCTCTGGTGTCTGGTAGTCTTCCTTTTCCCCATCATCGGCATGATCATCTACTGGCTGTTCTCGAACCGCGCCGCACACAACACCCGCTCGGGATACGAGGCTGTAGCTTAAGCGGCTCACGATCACCACAAAATATCCAGAATATGGGTGACACAACATTCACAATTTGACGATTGGCATGATACTGTAAGCCTGCGCATTAGCGACATGATATTGTATGAATTTCGCCAGGCGTGTATATGGGCGTAATGTGTGGGACAACCGGCGCGGGTTGATGGACGTTCGCTGCCATGGCTTCCGGCCTGTCAAAGCCATACCGAATAGACGTGCTCATGCCAAACGCTGACTGTCATCGTCCGTGAAACCAGCATCCGATTTGGTTCATATTTAGAAAGTGCTTCGTTTCTTGACAATATAACCAGCGTTGGATTGAAGATACGTTGAGTTACATTACAATTCTCCATTCCACCAAAAACGGTTTTCATGCAGAACGATGTGTTACGCCTCGAACTCCGGCCCTTCCAGCAGCGCAAGAATCTCCTCTGCTGCCTTCGACCGACCGGCGCCTTCAGGATGTCTCTTGCTCAGATCCTTTGCCCGCGCCTGCATCATCTTGGCATGGGGACCAAATAGAACACCCTGGAGACAGTCTCCAAATTCATCGCCCTTCCAGTATGGCTTCGCCTTACGGTTGGCCCATTTCCCTATGCCAAGAGTCTCAGCACGCTGAGCGAAGTCGTAGCAATCTGCCCACCCAGGTAAAACAACCTGGGGTATGCCGGTGCTATATTTGCAAGCATTAGCCAGCTATCCCAACTGGAAGTGTTATGTATCGGGGATTGAACAAGACTCACCACAATGCTTCATGGAATGAGTTCGAGCCGCCATGATTCACTGACAAGACCACGTTTCCTGACTCAAGGACAGACTTCGGCTCGGCGATGATCCAGTCTAAGATGCGGATTTGGTCGTTGTCCATTTCTGGGCTCAGAATAGATTTGATCTCCTTCCAAGGACCCAGGAACTCGGTGCTTGAGGGATCGGTATCATCTCCGTCTGAAGTCTTCCGAGGCATCTTCCATAAAACCTGCAAGTTGCCCTGACCCAAGGGCTCGGAACATTTGGCAAGATCGAATAGACGACGGAATGCTAGGGCTACTTCTTTGGCTAATGGAACGTCAAAGAAGTGATGCGTGCCTAGGTTCATGTACACTGTCGGGCCTCTACTAAGCCAACTTGCCATTTCGGGATCCTGTGTGGTATCTGAGATTGCTGGAGCAGCGCGAGTAATGGGGCCGCAAGGTGTAATGAACTTCGGGAGCACTTCGAAAGGGAAGTCGATGTCTGGGCTATTGGCCACGAGAAGACGAAGACCCTCGGGTGGTGCCTTTACCAAACCAAGTTGGTTCATCGTCAAGAGTTGAGTGTCCGGACCAATGACCTTATGCAGATACCCAGAGACTCTGGTGTGCCGCTTATTGGTTGAAACTGTCACGCCAGCCACCACGTTGTAGAAAACATTGAGAGGAATGAGGTGCAGTGGGACTGGGAACGGCAAGCTCGAGCATATGCTTCACGCCGGCGTCGTTAGAATTCATCCAGAAGCATGAAGGATGATTACTTACACAGGATACTTCCACAGCATTGCCATCTTTGGCTGAAGTGGCAGAGCAAAGTCCTTGATCGTGTTTGGAGCAAGTACAATCCAATTCATCTTGATGCGGTTGCAAAAGGTGAGTGCCGGCGCGAAGAATGCCTCTGCAACTGTGACATCTGGCTTAACGTCGTTCCAAATGCGCTCGAGATCCCGATAGATCTCGACGAACTCTTCGGGGCTCCACGGAAGAGCAAGGCCGGCAATGTTGAGCATATTGCGAGTGACATTGCTGAAGTTTGGGTTCACCAGCCAAGTTTCCATCGTAGGGTTTCCAGGTCTATCGACAGAGTCGAAATGTGACAAACCAGCCACCTCGTGAAACTTGACGGCGTCCACCGCCGCTGAGCCGAGGTCCGCAGTCAGCTGTTTGACTAGGCGGGATGTCGGTCCCTTCAAACGAGCCTGCGATGCAATGTGAACCTCGACATCCTGAGACTTATGAACCAGAGCATGGGCGACGGATAGAACAACGTTAGCCTGTCCATAGTCGCTGTTTGTCAGGAAAATGACTCTCTTCTTCGGCGGGGCCATCTCTACGGCTGGGAGGATGGGAGCAACAATCTGTGTGGTTGTTCAGAGACCTTCTCTCCAAAGACTTTTCGCATGATGATATATAGGGGCGCTTGAGGATTGTGGCAGACAGGCCCTCTGATCCCGACACAAGGCTCCAATGCCGTTATCAGACAGCGGTCTTACGAGGCTACCTAACTCCCCACTTATGGGCCCTCAGTGGGTACGCGCATGCAGTCATCCCGAGCTCGTCCGTCGAGATCGACAATGCAGTAATCACAGACCCTGACCTATGTGTTTTGTCAGGTATGAGAATAGTATTTACGGTGGATAAATGGTGCGTCTCAACTGTTGAGGTCACATCAAGATATCACGAAGGGCCGAGAGCGCTTACATGCAGATTAAGATATACGGGGCCTGCAGTTCTATGTAACCCAAGAGTTGACGAGTCCAATCAAAAATGTCTTAACCTGTGTATGGATCAATAAAGTCGAACGTCTTGCATGATTCCCTATCGAATGCAACGCCCATTCCAAACACGTAACCGGTGAACGGGCCGAGGATGACCACATGCATGACGAGACGAGCAGAATTACCGGAAATGGACTGAGAATCAGACGGGTTAGTACAGGCTGACAAGAAAACTGTCAGCGATAAAAGAAACGGGGAAATGACTCTTCTGCGGTAAGAAATCACGCATACAGATCGCCCTGTTTTGATAAATGGTGCCCACATTGGTGTGGTCATCTGGAGAAAGATACCATCCACCGCCATGTCATTTTCTGAATTAATACCAGACAATACATGCAGGTAAGCTCGTATGCAGTAGACACATCTGCGGCCGCCCGTCACCTTGAGAACGGAGCAATTCTTTGATAGAAATGTTACACTTTGAGGCGGGATACGTGGCAATACTACGAGGACTTGGGCTTCTGTCAGCGGCTGACGGACACAGCCACGTAACTGCGCGAGAAGTGACAATCTCAGGCACGATAATCGTATGGCTGATTTCATTATATTCAAACACAAAGGCTCACTGCCTTGGCGTTCTAGAATGCTACTATGAGTGATATAAAACTCAGCTCCCATCGCATCAATGCTTAACCAGGTTATGTATGCTATTCTGCTGCTTACTGAGGTAGTCACATCGCGCTTGGAAAACTCATAGTTGGGTCGCTGTGATAACACAAATACCAGGCGCGGATATCTACAACGTGTCTAGTCCAAAGACAAGTCCTGTTTCGTGTGAGCTACGTCTGGGAGATGTTCGCCTGTGACACAGCACAATTCAGGTTTGATCTAACATTCATGAAGTAATCCCTTGCACTAGTGCTTTTGCAATTTAATACTATCTACCTAAGTATTGTGAATGTTAAGTTAAATAATACCCTAATAGGTGTGGGGAATTGTTAGTGACTAGAGATAAACCCTCTCTGCAAACGCCTACGGATAACACGAGTTTTCACTGGTTCACTTCTTCAGCTAGAAACATCTCACAGTAGTAGCTGAGGTTCATCTAATGATCCAAAGTGACACGGTTAGAAGGATACATACAGTTGACAATCGGCAGTTTACCTATTGTTAAGGACACCGCGATGGCAGTGAGGTTTCACCAACTTTCACTTGGAATCGATGATGTCTCTCTAAGGCTACCCCGCCGCATTGGTACTGGATGCTCAGGGACTGACCCCGCGATCTTGCTGCGGGGACGTCGGGAGATCTCAGGGTTCAAACGCGGGGAAGACGCCCTTGACCTTGAATCCAAGAAGCCGAAGGCCGCATTTCCGAAAAATGTGTACGACCTGGGGGTTATAAAGTTATAGCAGCTTTCCAGCGGGGAATTTCCTCATGCGACGTCATTTTTGTTCTGCATACTATAGTACTTCATTACTTCAGGCACGAACTTTAGGCATGACTGAGCCTACTGTTCTCATTGTGGGTGCTGGGACCTTCGGCACATCCACTGCGTATCACCTGGCAAAGTCTTACGATGACCCAAGCCGAATTACTGTAATCGACCGCTGGAACGCCTCGTCCCGGGGCCCCAGCCCTGCAGCCGCCATAGACGTCAACCGCATCATTCGCACAGACTACGTGAGCCCCTTGTACTGTAATCTCGCCAACGAAGCCATCCATCCTTGGTTTTGGGACATTGACTTGGGCCATCATTTTCACAAGACGGGTTGGGTGGTTATTGATGAGAAAAACAGCGAGTTTACGACAGCCGTCCGACGGACGTTTCGGCTGCGAGGCTCGGACTATACCAGGGACGTGGATGTATCCAGCGTGGGGAATACTTGGAAGATGCTCCAGGGAATAGACACTGCTGACGTGGGCGACGCTTACTTTAATCCGGAAGCCGGATGGTGCGATGCTGCGTCTGCCACCTCGAGCTTCATGGCAGCTGCTGAGAGAAGAGGCGTGCAAAGAGTGACTGCCGACGTCGAGGAGCTCCAACTTGACACTGGAAGAAGGAGAGTAATAGGTGTCCGTACAGCAGACGGAAACCAAATAACAGCCGACAAAATTGTACTGGCAACCGGCGCCTGGACGAGCAAGCTTCTCGCGCCGATTGAAGACGCTCTCGATATCGCGGTCGATGACCGCGTTGAACAACAATTGAAAGCAGTGGGCAGGGTGTCGGCCTACTACACGCTGACGTCGCAAGAGATGGAAATGATGTGTGCAGATAACTTGCCCATCTTGGTATACAAAGGCTGGGGGATTTTGACTCCACCTTCTCCCGACAATCGCACACTGAAGGTCAACGACCTCCGCACAGAGTTCCTGAATACCCAAACGACGTCTTCCGGCCAGCGGATCTCTGTCCCCGACTTATGGGGCCAAAACACTGTCCCAGAAAAGCTTCAAAAGGAGATGGGCAGTTTACTGAAGGCAATGATACCAGCCTTCTCATCACAGCGGAAGCTAGATCGATGGCGGATCTGCTGGGATGCTGCGACACCGACGGGCGACTGGCTGCTATCCAGACATCCACACGCGCAGCTTCAGAATTTGCATATCGCGGCTGGGGGGAACTTCAGCAGCTACAAGTGAGTCATCTTTTGTATGATAAGACTCAGAGACTGATTACAATATGTCACAGGTTTATGCCTATCGTCGGCCGGTACATATGTAACGTTCTCAACGGTCAGAGCAACGGAATCGAAAAAGACGAAGCATGGGGCTGGAAAGATACCGCGCGCATTCAGCAACAGGTCACGCACAGAAATGAGCTAGGCGGGAAAACGAGCGTGGCACACCACTCCGAACTGGACTGGTTCAAGAGGGGTATGATATCTAAGATTTAAAATGCCTTTCCATTAGAGTTCTTATCAGGTCTCAAAAGCCAATACGCCGTTGCCATCTCCTTGCGGAGCTGCTCCCAACCCAGCTCATTCACTTCATTATCCGTTAAAGTATCAACCTGCTCAAGCATGTTCATCATGCTAGGAGAGACCACCTGTGCAAGCGTCTGCCAGGCGTTATCCACGGCCGACATGCGTGTGCGCGCTAGGAAGTGCGCTGTTACAGCGGACACGAGACTGATCTGTGAGATTGGCAGTAGTAAAAGGAATAGTGATGTGTATCCTTTTTTTTTTTTTTCCAACTCTTCCATAGTTAATAGAAGATCTTCTACTATTTATGTCCAGAGTGAGGGCTTTTTCCTTTATCAATAGAGTTTGGCATAACCATAGAAAACTCTTCTCAACTCCTCTCAAGGTCGCTTAGTGGCGGACACCTTTCATAGCGACTGACACCTCTCAAGGTTATCATGGCCAATTTGACA